TTGAGTACAGTATACTTCTCCAGATATACAATAGAGTATTTGTGTAGGTTTGTAACAGCTATCGGAGCTCAGGGTGTATTTCTGGCACCCTTCTCCATGACAGTTGAGATAGTTGGGGGTCAGAAGGCCCTTCCTCTCCTACCTTTCCCGGTCAAATATAAAACAGCAGCAGGTATAGGGGATCATTTAATGCTAGATTTTCAGGGAACCTTTTCCTAGTAACAATTTTTCTTGTGAGCTGTTGCACTTTAAGCTGCCCTTTTTTTTTGTAAATCGTATTTCGCAGAATTTTCTGCTTAAGTTTTCGTATTTTCAAAAATAATAAATCTCAACACTATTTTAGAGACAAAATTTTTATCTTTAACCATCCATAAACCTTCTTTGCAGTCATGTAAGTTGCCATACAAAATGTGGGCCCTATCGGCTCAGCCGTTTTGACGTTTCTTGGATACAGACAGACAAGCTAAGTTTATATATAGAACAGAAGATTTGTCCTAAATAATTTTACGCTTCTTAAATTTAGAGGCAGGGTTTGATTATCAAAAAGCGTAGAAGACATAGTAGTGGCTTGTTTATTTATCTTTACTATTTATTTTAAGTGTCTCAAAAGTAGAAACAATAATCTAGACACCCCCCCCCCCCATAATTTTCTTGTCGGAGGGACTGTTAATTTGATACCATAATCTTACTTCAAATATATAAATTATTTTATGAAACTATAGTGTATTACTCACTTCATCGTGAATTTCATAATGAACGTGCTATAAAGTTAAATTAGCTGTACATTATAGCACGCATTTTTAGATTATATTTTTTCCCTTGCTAAAGCTCGGAGCAAAATTGAATAAGCTTTGAAACAAAGCAGAAGTCAAAATATTAAGTTGATTTATATTTTATTTTATTTTCATTTCAATAGAATCAAAAAAATATTTTGGAAATATCCTAAATTTTTTGAGAAAATCCGGGAACCAATCAAAACACGTACTATAATGTACAGCTAATTTAACTTTATAGCACGATGATTACTGTATAGCACGTTCATTATGAAATTCACGATGAAGTGAGGAAGAATGATAAAGTACACAATAGTTTCATAAAAGCAATATAAAGAAATTGTTTATACAGGGGGGGCTCAGTGAGCTCAGTTAAAAGTGTATGTTATTTTATACACTTCTGATCTGCTACAATTTAATTTATATATTTAAAGATTTTCTACTGAAATTCATGATTTGATTAGATATTAGATAATTATAGTTGGGATTAATAATACCGTACATTTTATAAAACATTTAGCTTACATTACAGCCCTCTGGATAGAACTTAAATTATGTTGTAAAAAACACCTATATTAATCTTAAAACTAAAAACTGTTCAAAAGTTTCATTAATAAAATACAATTGTATTTAGGAAACATGATCCAGGCTCCTTTTGCAATCGGTATGGCGCTTCTCAGTGTCCTGGCCAGTTTTATAAGGCAAGTATTTTTGGTTTTACCTCAATATCTCACTTATACGTTTTTTGAAGCCCTAAACATGTATATTTTACAACTATACAATCATAACCAGAAAGCTATTCACAAGACTAAACATATATATCTCTGGTAATATTAAACACACAATAAAGGCAGACCACATTTTGGAATTGGCAGGACTAGGGCTATTTTGTTATTATCGTTTAATCAATTTCATATTTGTAAATTTCTATTGTAAAGTCGTCTGATTTATTATGTATAACACTTATTTTTAGTTTTAGTTTTTAAGAATTGGTAAAATTCTCATAAAGTCTAGCATGAGAGCTTACAACCTTAGTTTTACCAAGAGCATCACATTTTAACCCATTTGTGGAGATGAAGAGCATGCAATAACAATATCAAAATTTAAAAAATAAAATTTTGAATAATTTAAATTTTTCTTTAAATGTATTTTTTGCTAGTGACTGGAGAACACTGCAATGGACGGTATCCTTAGCAACATTTGCTCAGGTTAACATTATTTCTTTCAGATTTTACATTTTAAAACTTTATGGTTTTTGGAGGGAGGATTCAAAATACAGTTTAGTATTTTCTAATGGGTTGCTTTTTAAGCTTGTTTTACTCTGAAGAAAGATATTTTTCGAAAATGTATTTCACTTATAGTGTTTCCTATTTTATTTTCTTCTTTTCCTGATGTTAGTAAAAAATTCATATTGTGTTTTAAAGAAAATAATAAGGGATGCATACTCCTTCGAGATATGATAATATTTCTATATCTTATTTTAAAAAACTTAAAAATTTTATTTTTGTTGGCCATCTTAAAATCTTAAAATTTAAACTAAAAAAAAACTAAAAAAAATGTTGCTCATCTCAAATTGTATGCTATTTCCATGACTTCAATGAGTTATGTGAAATAAACATTAACTTCACTTTCTCTTAATTAAAAATTACCAAAAATGAACTTTCGTGTTTACTTCTTGGTAAAGACCAATCCATGGGGATTCTGCATGTAGAGATTAAACATAATAACAAAACACAGCAAAGATACTTTGGTTATATTATTGATTACAATTATTAAAGATTATTCATGGCCAATTATAAAGAAGTGTGAGCTCTACGTAATGGTATGTTGGACTGAAAATATTTTTCAACCCAATTTATAAATACTGCTTCAGACTCCTGGTTTGTTTTTTGTCAAGTCAAACTTGAAGTTCTACAGTTTCTTTGTTAGAAATAGATATCCTTTAATCCTATTTGAGGGTTCATGTTTATGCACTGATTTGAAATCTTTGATTTTTTTTTAAATTATCAAAAATCATTTATTCAATGAAATTTTTTTTTCAATATCGCAGATTTTCTCAAACTCTTTAAAATAATCGGGTTGATGTAAAAGTTCTATATTTTTTCGACATTTATGAAAGCAATGCATGAAATAAGCTTTTTTAATTATTTACAAATACTTTACAGAGAAGTTTAGAGAATTTTACTTTACCAAGGGTTCCCAAGATCAATTTGCCTACAAAATATCCAACGCGTTGCGAAAATTTGCAATTTCTTGAAGTTGTGCACAATTTTATCGTCTTTTGAGATGAAAATGCACGAATTTTTTCATAAAACTTCGCAGAGCGGGTGGTTATCTTACATAATTGACCCAAGCAGGCCCGTAGCTATGGGGAGGCAGAGGGGTGCACACTATCGAGACAAAAAAGAAGAAACTATAAATGAAAGAAAGAAGGAAAAAAGGGGTAAATTGGCAAAGAATTATTTTTTCTTCAAATTAAAGAAAAAATGAATGCTTTTTCAATTAAGTTATTTGGGAATTTTAATTTCTATCCTGTCTTGTGAAATGATAGGGTTTAAGAAAATTTTTTTATATTTTCCCTTTTATTAGATTAATGATTTTAATGAACCATCGTACAACAAAGAGTAACATGGAGACAAATTGAAATTATATATAAAATATGGTTTTGGGAAAATTTTAGTTTTGGGAAAACTGAAGATTTTCATGGTTGAGTTTTTCTTGATCTTTTCTTGATCTTTACGGCTGCATTTACATCCTTTACTTTCCCTGTATATTAAGAATTAAAGAATAAGTATTGCTTTTCGTGATTCAACAATTTTATTAATACATTTATTCATAGTTTAACTCAAATCTCTACATCTTATACCTACGGTTTTTTTTTTGGTGCAAGTAGCTTCTCAATAGCATTTAAAACATGATGCAAATCAGGGAAAATATCTTTCGTTAAAAATATTATGTGTGATAAGTTAAAAATCTAGTCTTTAATCATTAATTTTGATCCTTTTTGAATTTTCAGGTACAAAAATTTTTACATATATATATGGGATTTCTAACATTTCTACCCTCCCCCCATTTTCAAATTCCTAGCTACGGGCCTGGACCCAAGGGACGTAAAATAGCATAACGTCCCTCTGTTGGGGGAATCATAGGTCGGTATTTTTCGTCAAAAGACGGTAAAACAATTTATTTTAAAACGTTTAGTTGATTCTTCTCTTGATTTAGTTGATCCTTCTCTTGATTTAGTTGATCCTTCTCTTGATTTAGTTGATCCTTCTCTTAAAAAGTTTCCTGCAACTTGTTTTCCTGCAGATACAAAACTAATTTTTTGGTCAAATCAGCCTATTCTCTGGGAAGAAAGGATTTTTAAAGTTTTAAAATGTGTAAATATTGTATTGTGTCTGTATGTGCGCACTTTGCAGTGTCAGCATAAGAGGGGGGAATGGGGCCATTTAATTTCCCCCCTCCCACCCTCAGCTTGTCATGTTTTGGACACATTCTGTATAAAATCCAAAAAGGGGGGGGGGCATTTTTTCCTGGGAGGGTGATAAAAATATCGTGACCGTCCCAGTAGTCACTTGGTAATTCTTGATAAATCATAATAGTTTTACTTTCATCAATCCGATAGTTTTAAAGTTTAAATAACCACTGTAAGTAATAGAATATGATTCTTTTCTATCTTAAGAATTAAGTTTATTATGATTTTAAAATTGAAGCACATTTTAGTTTTTAGTCACAAAAAACAAAACCATCGAAATTATTTGATATAAAAGTTTTTTTTCTAGACTGAGATATCCTTGACCTTAACTTGCCATCCTGTCCTTCTATAATCTATATACTCTGCTTGTCTGTCTGCTTGTTTGGGTGTTTGTTTGTTTGTATCCCATAAACGTCAAAATGTTCAATGTCCATTAAGCCATCTTTTGCCCAAAAAAAAGTTTCAGCTATAATGCTCAATCTTCATATATCTAAATGTGAAAAGTCCGCTAGTTCTTTCACATGTAAACTTTTGTTTGGTAGTGCAGGTAGGTGAAGGAGAGAAGAGAGAGGAAGGAAGGAGTTCCTCTAAATACAGTTTAAAGGATATGTTTCATCCAACCCTTCGCTACATCAGGGAACCCAGTCTAAAATATAAAATAAATAAATCTGAATTGATGAAAATCTGTATTTAGTATATATAAAAATTAGAGCATTTGTCAAAATTATTTTTATTTATGCACAAAGAGATTCGTTTTGTTTTCATTATTTTATCATTTGAACAATCCCATTATCTTTGCAACTAATGTGACCTTAGATATTTTTCATAATAATATAAGTTTTAAATATCAGAAATATACAACATCAGGTTGCAAAGATATATAGAAATTTGAGAATGAGACAAAGGCTCAATTCCTTTCCTTCGGATATGATTTCTCAAAACAGAATTGCTGGAATTACGCAGTTGTTCGAAAATGAATGATTATGACATCCATCAAACATTATATTCGATCATTTTACTATACCCATCCGCCCTTTTTATTTGTTTCCAATAAATTGTTAACAATAACTATGGTAAATTTTCCATAACTGCATTTTTAGCAATCATAAAATTTAAATCATGTCTGGAGCCGCAAATTCACATAATTAGTATTGAAAAATGTATAAATATACGGCTGGGTGTCTTTTTAGTATTATTCTGATGATATGTTGGCCTATTGTTACTCTTGGTGAGTTATTTGAAAATAATTTATAAAGATTTTTTACCGAGGTTATCTATAGAAATATAAAGTTGTAATCTCTGTTCGTCTGTTGGTTTTTCCGGTCATAACTCAGGAACCTCTGGATCGATTTGCCTCAATTTTTTATTGGGTAACTCGGGAGACCCACAGGAATGTTCTTAGCTTGGTTTTGAGTGGGTCGTCTTTAAAAGCGAAAATTTAGTCCCGTTAAAATGGTTCAAATGCGGGTAAACGGCGGGAGTAAATTTTAGAAACCTGGGCAGCGCTGGGTTCCATATAGAGGATGATGTACGCTAATCCTTTATTAATTGAACAGGCCCTGTAATCCACTTTAAAATGTGAGATCGGAGCTGAAAACTTTAGAATGGGATATCCTTAATCCCGATCGGTCAATTAATCTGGAGACAAGAGGAGAACAAGCATTATTTGATCTCGAGATTAAGAAAAAGAGTGGATCAAGCCTTAATCCCGATATCCACCATTCAAAAGTTCCCAGCTCAGAACTTTTGTGTGGATATTGTTAATCATGGGCCGAATCTCGATATCCAATGTAGGAACTTTGAGGATCAATGCTTCATCCCTCAATAAAGGGTGTGACCATCGCAGTATATCGAAAAGGAATTAAATTTATCTGTAGATCTGCTAAAGATTGAGATCAATGCTTGATCCCAAGGTTTAAAATACAAAAGTTCCAATCTCTGCTCTAATACGTGTGACAAACTCTATCCCTCTGTCCGTAGCTATAGCTCTATAAATCCTTAATTAAATGGTTTTAAGGTTACTATGGTATAACCTTCTCCATGGCTAACCTAAACGATGATACTTTTGTAAGGTAAAGCTATATTTTTAATACTCAATTTTCAATATCAAAAGCATTGTTTTTTAAATAAATAATAATTATCAAACATACTTTAAAAGAATATGTAACTTGATAGTTATAACTCATTAACCTGACTTTTTACAAGAAGAACAATTTATCTTATTGCAATGCAATATATCAGCAGGGGCATGTTCAAGAATTTTAAGTGATTTTAGTTTGAGTTGAGAGTTCAATTCATTCATTAGTCAAATTCCAAAGTTTTCTATGGTTTGTTTGAATTTTCTATATTTTAGTTTTATTGTGAGTTCTCTGGTCGAGATACCAGCATACATTGTGGTAACTTTGTTTATGGATGTTTGGGGACGGAAACCTCTCTTTTCCCTCTCTCTAATCAGCTCAGGTTTGGTTTAACTCCGGGACTAAACTGAACAGAATAAAATTATCAAATTATGGAATTAGATAAACTAGGCCAATATCTTTTCAACTTTAACAATTTATTTTAATTAAATTTTACAATATCAATAAATATTTATATGATATCAGATGGAAATATTTTGAGATTTCTATATTTCTTGTTCTTCATTTTCTTCTTGTTCGTACATCTTTCAATCATATTTCGCCTAATTTTGAAAATATTACACAAGAAAAAACTATTTTTAAAGGTTCTTGATTTTTTTTAAACCCTGTATTTAATGGTTGGTTTTAACGAGAAAAATTTCGAAAAATGATCTGAACCCTGTAATTAATTTAACTAGTTAAGAATCTTGCTTTCTTTTCTTGGCACTCTATATTGAATTGTTTACTCTTGAGTTGCATCTGACTATTGATACTATCTTACCTTATCTCTGAGTCATTCTGTCAGGTCTCTGTTCACATCTTCTTCACCTGAACTCCCAACCTGTACTTTATTTTGGCTAAAGATTAAGGGAGATTTCTCCTCTACTTAGACCTGTACGGTCCTCCCATGTACTCTTAAGGAGCTGTAATCCTGCTCCTTCCGGTCGACCAGCCTGCCTAGTTGGTTGAATTTGAAAGGCACCAAATTCAAATATCTCAGAGATAAAGTTCATATTATCAACTCTCTAAAATTAATTCAAGAGATTGAGCAAAAAAAACAAATTCTTAATATTTTCTAGGGGCAAGGTGGGGAAAGCGATTTTTTCACCCCCTCACCCTCCCCGGTGGGGGGAGGGGGAAAAGTCTTCCAAGCCCCCATCTCTAATATCAAGAGATTTCCCTTCCAATTTTTTCTGTTCAATTTTCTTTTTTCTTCTTTATTCTTGTTTCTTGTTTCTACACTTTGAGGCCTCTCCAAATTGTTCTTTTGACATCGAGTTGTGGATCAGGTAAAAGAGAAATAAAAAGGTTTGTAGGAGGAAGGGTATAAGGAATTGCTCCCTACTGTCCTCTGTGTTATAGTCTTTCCAACTTCAGGGGAATTTTAAGGAAACCTGAAAGCCCCATTGAGAGGAATCTTCCACAGCAGTCCGGTATCGTTGTGCATGGCTTGTATACCCATCAGGGGTTAAACTTCTTCTTTCAGTTACAACAAGCTGGAGATGAAGTCTTGTTTTATTCTATGTTCATTCCTTACTTCCCCTGTAGGATATGAGATGTGCAACTAAATACAGCGATCCCTCAAACTGTAAAGCTGGGACTGCTGTAAGCGAGGTCTGTTCTCTTCTGAGGGCGGTAAGCAACTGATTTTCGCGTATATCTTTATTTCATCAGTTTTTGAAATGAATACATTAAAATACTCGGTTAATATATTTCTCTGAATCCAGGAGCTCTCTGTATTGGTTGTGGATTACTTGAAGAAGGAACAACCAAGTAAATAGATTAATAAAAAAATATATCAGAAATTAGAATAAATATTGTCTCAAATGTTGACCCTGTTGTGTATTGTTTTAGCAAAAAATACTTTGTTGAGTGTTTGAAAAAGAAAAGTCATTAAATTCGAATCTACGTATTCTAAATTCGAATCTACATATTCTAAATTCGATTCTACATGTTCTAAATTCTGATCTACATATTCTAAATTCGATTCTAAATATCGAGGAATTAGACAAAAATTTACCTAAATTCAAAGGAACTGATAAGTGGCTTCAATTCGTAATTTTCTAATTCTTTTATCTTTTCAACCTGACGTTCTAGACCTTTGATATCTCTTAAACAAGACTACATAACTTCATAGTTTTAAATATTAAGGGTCTACGACACCGGGTGGCAAAGATATATGGATTCGACAATTACGATTTGAGGCGAGGCTTAAGTTTCTTTATTAATATAAGAGCTCATCTTAGCACTTTTTCTCCAGGACGGTTTTAGCGATGTTTGGTAAATTCTTCGCCTCGTCCAGTTTTGCTCTAGTGTACATGTTCACAGCTGAACTGTTCCCTACAACTATCCGTTCCTCAGCAGTAGGAATATGTTCCTTGATGGCCAGGATTGGAGGAATATCAGCTCCGCAGATAGCGATTGCACTACCTAAGGTAATCACTCGTTCTCAGCTGTCAGGGGTGCATGAAGATTGGAGGGGGTGAGTCCCCCCCCCCGGACAAATTCCACGCGCAGTCCCCGGCTATTAATTTACAAATTATGAAATTCATACATATTGAAATTAATACATAAAGAAAGTTTAAAAATATTTAATGCACTGAAAACCAGATACTTGAAAATCCCAGTCATACCAATGTTGTACTTTTAATGAAATATTGAAGTATAGCCAATCATAGGGCGAAATTAATCCCAATATTGTACGAGGATAGGGTTGGACCAGCACGAATTTAGTAGAGCTTTCATAATCCTTGATATTCTGAGATGACAGTGAACAATGCTTGGGTTGGGAGGGACACATGGTGCCAAGTACAAAAATATGCAGTATGTCCCACGATACAGAACAATTTCAAGACAAGAACAAATTAAAGACAAGATATTCATAAAGTGGTTTAGACAGACATATCGTTATTAAACTCCCTTTAAAGAATATTTTTTATAAAATAAAGGACTGTTCACTCTTTAACTAAAAATGCTTATTTAATATCGGAGTTGACCGTCTGATAATTGCCATGTTTTCCTAATTACAGTGATTACACACCAGGAACCTTTATTTATTTCAGAACTTTAGTTCTACTTTTCAAATTACAAAGTTTGTGATAATACAGATAACTATTAAAAATTAATTTGTGGCCTGGACCCGCCTAACCAGAGTAGGTTGTCCGTTGTTTTAATTTGTTGGACCATAATTTGGATCGCGTACTCAGCAACAGGGTTTTATCCGAGGGTAAAACTAACATTTTTATCCAAATTATGTAAATTAACTAAAGGGGGAAGAAGATAGTAAAAACAAATTAATTTACAAAGTTTATCCAAATTATGTAAATTAAGTGCAGGAGGAAGAAGATAGTAAAAAAAAATTAATTTACAAAGTTTATCCAAATTATGTAAATTAAGTACAGGAGAAAGAAGATTGTAAAAGAAAATTAATTTACAAAGTTTATCCAAATTATGTAAATTAAGTACAGGAGGAAGAAGATAGTAAAAACAAATTAATTTACAAAGTTTATCCAAATTTATTTTTACATATTTAACTTGCATGACTATATATCTAGATTTTGGCGACTTTTCGTTTAAATTTTTTTGCGAATTTTGTTTCTTTGAGCTCTAATTCCAATCAAAATGCTTGTAGGTGACAAGTGATGCAGCTCCCTTCTATGTAATGGGAGGTTGCTCTATATTTGGAGGAGTTCTATCTCTGCTTCTCCCGGAGACACTTGGAACCAATCTTCCGGAGACCTTTGAGGATGTGGAAAACATCAAGAAGAACGCTAAACCCATCTGGAAATGTGTCAGCTATGCCAAAGCTGAATAATAAATTTTTAAAATTTTGAATTTTAGATTTTCGGAAATATTGACGAAAAATCGAAAATGAAACGATAGTTTTTATAAAACTCGTCTTTTCATTATCGATCGTTACCAACGAACGATCGTTTTTTCTAAAGCGATCGTTTTTTAAAAACAATCGTATAAAAAAATGGTTGCAAATCGTTTTTACAAAAACATCAAAAACGATCGTCATTCGTTTTCAATAAGTTAAAACGAGTGGGTCGATTTTAAAAACGATCGTTTTTTTCCAAAAACGAAACAATCGTTTTTGGAAACGATTGAAAAACGAAACAAAAAACGATTGTCTACAAAAACGATTTACAACCCTAAATTGTCAGAGATAAAGAGATAAGTGATACATGGATAAAGATGTAAGTAGTACAGGTTAAATTTACTACCGGTGAAGTTTGGTTTAGGCTGATAGGGATACAGTGCATCAGTTTGATATTCAAATGCATAAATCAATCAAAAAATATGCTTTTCACACCTTAGAAAAAATTCTATATTGTAAAACTAAAAAAATTTAGAACAGAAAACATCTCCCCAAAAACTAAAAAAGGATACAAAAGTCAAAAGAATGAAAGGAAAGAATGAATAAATAATTTATTGTGGAAAACATCAAGAAGAACGCTAAACCCATCTGGAAATGCGTCAGCTATGCCAAAGCTAAATAATAAATTTTTAAAATTTAGAATTTTAGATTTTCGGAAATTTTCTTTTGAAAATATAGAATTGTTTTTTTCTCATCATTGAATTAATTTTCTGATAATATTGTGTTAATAAATAATGGAGAAAATAGTTGTTAAATGAGAGGGAACCTTAATCTACTTTTACAAATTTCAACTTTCATTTTCACTATATTTTTTAAGAGAAATATTTAATTCTAGAAGTCAGAAGTTAATCCATCTTCTTTTTTTTCTTCAATTGTATCTCTATTTTGAAGTGCAAGGATGATTTAAAAAATATCTGATTCTTATAAAGAATGATAAAAGTGAAGAAAATATATTAGAAAGTATTAATAAATAAATGAAAGTATGTAAGAATGATTCAGATGGGTGCAACTAGGAAGTTCAGCGTTTGTTTACATAGAGTACACAATAAACTGCATGAAGTACGCTGCTTAATATTCTTATAAAAGGAAGCTGAAAAGTTCAGTTCTAAGGTCTAAGTTTATCTTGAACTGTATGTAAATATACTCTCAAATGAACCTATACTATGGAGGGATGTTAACGTTTTTTTTGAAAAACGAATTTTCGTTATGAAAACGATGACGAAAAATCGAAAACGAAACGATAGTTTTTAAAAACGATCGTTTTTTATAAAACTCGTCGTTTCATTATCGATAGTTAACGACGAACGATCGTTTTTTCTAAAGCGTTTTTTTTAAAAAAACAATCGTATAAAAAACGGTCGCAAATAATTTTTTATAAAACATCGTTTTCAAAAACGAGTGGGTCGTTTTTAAGAACGATCGTTTCGTTTTTGGAAACGATTGAAAAACGAAACAAAAAACGATCGTTTAACGATCGTTTTCAAGAACGATTAACAACTCTACAATCAGATAAAGAGATAAGTGATACATGGATAAAGATGTAAGTTCAGGTTAAATTTACTACCTGAGAAGTTTGGTTTAGGCTGGTGGGAATACAGTGCATCAGTTTGGATCAAATGCATAAACCAATCAAAAAAATATGCTTTTCACACTTTAGAAAAAAATCTAGATTGTAAAACTAAAAACATCTCCCAACAACTAAGAAAAGGAAACAAAAGTCAAAAAGTGGATTAAAGAATGAAAGGAAAGAATGAATAAATAATTTATTTTAGATTGATTATAATGGTTGAATGAAAAGAAAAATTTGTTAATGATAAATGAATGATAAATCATGAATGAATTAATAAAACAATGAATAAAATAATAAACTTATGAATAAATCAATAGATTAATATGGATAATCAATAAATTCATTGATGAATGAAATAATAGAATTAAGAATAAATCAAAAGATTAATGAATAAATCAATAAATTCTTGAACGAAGGAATAAATTAATGAATGAAATAATAGAATTAAGAATAAATCAAAATATTTATGAATAAATCAATAAATTCATGAATGAAGGAATAAAAAAATGAATAAATTAATAGATTCATGAATAAATCAAAAGATTTATGAATAAATCATAAAATCATGAATGAAGGAATAAAACAATAAATGAAATAATAATGAATTTATGAATGAAAAGAAAGAATAAATTCATGACTTCAGGAAAAAAAGCAGAATCTCATGATTGCTGGGAATAATCCAATACTCAATATCATGGCTTGAAAACTAGTTCTTACAACGGTTTATTGAATAAAATATTTAGCTCAAGAAAGCGTTGTAAAAAATAGCAGCTAATTTGAAATATCAAATGACAAATAATCAAAAAATTAAAATAGCCCTTACTTTATAGCTGGGTAAACTATTAACTTTTTAGTTACAGGAACTAAACACTCGCCCACAAACCATACATCTTAACCTGATGGTGTAAGCCTTAATCAAACTTTGGATAATTGATCTAATAGAATTCACAGTTTTTTAGATATCCAAGATCCTCAACATCAGGTTGCAAAGATATGGTGATAAGGAAACTAGAGCTTGAAGCAATAGGCCTTCCCAGGGGTAACACGAGGTCCCACAAAAAATGTGGGTCCGATCAGTTTAGCCGTTTTGACGTTTATTGGATACACACAGACAAACAAACAGATAAATAAGCAAAGTACATGTATTAATGAGCTTTAATTTTTAGATAATTATTAAATTAGTTAAATAATGCGTAGATAGGAAGTTTTTCTACTTAAATAACCGTTAAAGGAACTGTAGACTGAATTAAAGCGTGGCATGCCCGATTTCCTGATGTACCTAGCTGTTAGTCCTGTACCTAGCTGTTAGTCCTGTACCTAGCTATTAGCCCTGTACTTAGCTGTTAGTCCTGTACCTAGCTGTTAGTCCTGTACCTAGCTGTTAGCCCTGTACCTAGCTGTTAGCCCTGTACCTAGCTGTTAGCCCTGTAACTAGCTGTTCGCCCTTTACCTAGCTGTTAGCCCTGTACTTAGCTGTTAGCCCTGTACCTAGCTGTTAGNACTTTCCAAACGAAATCTTTTCATGAAATTATTTCCAAACCAAATAAAACCTTATGGCCCAACCTGTCGTCGTTTCCTTAGTATGTTCCACTTTAGTATTTATTCACTTTGTCTATTAGCCCTGTACCGGAGTGATAAGAAGAAGATCGATATCGTCTTGTTTAGATTTTTTAAAAAATATATTTTCTCTTAATTTTCTTCCTTTTCTCTGCTGCATAAATCTGCAAGTCACTTTTTTAGAAATCGCAATTGGAAATAACTGATTCTCAGATAGTAAACAAGGGTTGTATTTTGAATCGAGCATGTAACTGTTGTAACTTATTTTAAACTTTGAGGTTGCTTTGAGAGATTTGTAAACTCATGTGACTTAAACTTTATTTTAAACAGTGTACTAACCCCGGACTATACAGGGCTAGATGCGTTCGGTTTATTCAATTAGAATTTATTTGCGTTTTGGACCAAGTTATTCATGAAACAAAATTTATATTTCCTATTTCTTTGCAACCTGATGGTGTAAACCTTTCATATTTAAAAATTAGATTATTTCATCAACAGAAGTCAAAGTTTAAAATATCTAAGGTCTACGACATTGTGTTGCAAATATAAGGGATTTGAAAATCAGAGTTTGTGGCAAAGCCTCATTTCTTTTACAGAGTTGCATACAATCACTTTTTCCTTTGAAACAAACAAAAAAACTCGAATATATCTTAAATTTTATTCAGGGCAAATTGTAATCAACAGTCACAGTTTGCTGGGATAAGGACAGAACTGTTAAACCTGCGTTCACTACAGAGTTTGCTGGGATAAGGACAGAACTGTTAAACCTGTGTTCACTACAGAGTTTGCTGGGATAAGGACAGAACTGTTAAACCTGTGTTCACTACAGAGTTTGCTGGGATAAGGACCGAACTATTAAACCTGCGTTCACTACAGAGTTTGCTGGGATAAGGTCAGAACTATTAAACCTGCGTTCACTACAGAGTTTGCTGGGATAAGGTCAGAACTATTAAACCTGCATTCACTACAGAGTTTGCTGGGATAAGGTCAGAACTGTTAAACCTGCGTTCACTACAGAGTTTGCTGGGATAAGGACAGAACTGTTAAACCTGCGTTCACTACAGAGTTTGCTGGGATAAGGACAGAACTGTTAAACTTAAACATCTGATTGAAAATATAGAGGCGAAATACCTACAAATTGTATTTATCGTTTTCGCTATTGTTGTTCTAACAATATATGTATCTTTATATATGTATATATCTGATAGGTATATACATACATACATATATACATATATATAGCCGAGCGAGGGGAGGAAGGCTATCCACAACAATTTAACTAGGGAGATTAGACACTTAAAAAAATATTATTGACGAGGATTTTGAGGTGGCTCGGACGAAAAAAGGAAGTAAATGTGGCTCGGGCGAGAAATTGTCGTGGTTTGCCATCCTCCCCTCGTTGAGCAGGATGGAAAATAATTGATTTTTGTTGTTCCACTCAGCGTCCGTTTACTTTTATAAGGATTCCGCACTTTCTGCAGTGATGGACGGATAGCTTCCAACTGATTAAAGAAAATAACTATAAACGCATTTTTGTTTAAATTATAAACTTACATAAATAAATATATTTGAACATTTTGTTTTATAAAAGTACATATTTTTGTACGCAATATAGATAGCAGGGTGGGGGGAATATAACGGAACGCATCAGGGTGGAGAAGGAAAGTTTTCTATCGTAGAATCCTCCCCCAACCCTCCCCTGAAGATGTTCAGTGTAGAGGCTGCGAACCTCCAGTACTGTCCTCTACAGGGATCCTCTATAATAAACAAAAACAGTGTCGGATCAGCACACAGAAACCTTGCAAGAGAAATGTGAACCTGGATCCTCAGATTAGGTTTCAATGGAAGGGTTTAGTTTGCTCTCAGTCCGAGGTGAGGATAGATGTTTAACTCCGGGTTCTAATAATATGCTAATGCCAGGTGGGATTTGTAGATAACGTTGAATTGTACCAAATAAATGGAACTGGATCCTGAATATGTATATAGTATATATATATACTATATCTAAATATCTATATACTATATCTAAATATCTATATATGTATATGTATATCAATCATAGACCAACATTACCGACCTATGATTCCCCCAACAGAGGGAGGTTAAGTTAATAAACTTCCCTTGGGACAGTTATGTAAAATATCCACCCGCTCTGCCAAGTTTTCAGGAAAAAAATCTCGCAATTTCATCTCAAATGACAATAAAATTTTGTACAACTACTTTTTCGGTAAATTAAAAAGTTTACTTAACCACGGGTTCCCTTGACCAATTCTGCGCTATGGATGCTTTGTAGACAAAATTGGTCTTGGGAACCCTTAGTAAATTCCCTTAACTTCCCTGTGAAGTAGTTGTAAATAATTAATATTAAAATACTGTGGAATATATTACATTATTTTATAAAAAGCTCTGCTTCATTCATGAATCTGATCCTGTTTTTATATTATATCCAATAGAGCAGATGCATGGCTCTAATCCTGCGTTGAAAGTAATAAAAGTTTATTAACAAAGGTTTCTGTACACATAAAATGTATTACAACTCAATGTTGTTTACGCTTTACTGTGACATATATATAGGACACCTGAGCTGGGAACTTTTGTGTTATATATTCACAATCCCAGTCTCTTGATATCGATATCCACAATAGGCACTTAATCTCTATATTTTAGTTATTTCTTCCATGAATAAAACTCCCTTTAAGCTCTGATCAAAGCTCCCTACAACGCCTAGCCCTGAACATATATATATGTATGGGATGTATGGGATGTATGGGATGTATGGGATGTATGGGATGTATGGGATGTATGGGATGTATGGGATGTATAGGATGTATGGGATGTATGGGATGTATGGGATGTATGGGATGTATGGGATGTATGGGATGTATGGGGATGTATGGGATGTATGGGATGTATGGGATGTATGGGATGTATGGGATGTATGGGATGTATGGGATGTATGGGATGTATGGGATGTATGGGATGGCAAATTTTGAAAAATATTTTTAGTTCACTAAGTTTTATTAATCCTTAAGAAAACTAACTCGGCGTCCCTCCTAACCATATACAGGTTTTCTATAGACCTGGTTTAGAGGATTCTAAATATATTTAGTGTTTTCTTTATATCCGATTTTAGCAGCAAAATAATGGTTAGGATTAGCGCACATTGATCCAATCGTTGCATAATCTGAATTTACAAAGATTTATCGATAAAGTGTATAATTGTGCCGTATATGCTATTTGTATTCACTCGAACCACCACGTGTTATATACACAAAATGTAGGGTAGCTGGATCCATGCGAACGGGTTAGAAATATTTTACATCTTTATTACTTGAACTAAAGTCTTTATCTTCTTTATATTTCATGAGGTGAAAGAAACAGAAATTTTTTGTCTTTTGCTTCATATATTTTTGTAAATATTTCATGTTTTCAGATTTTTTAGAGCTTTGAACTTTATATTAAATTATAAAAGGAAAAACAAATATAAAGTATTGATAGAATTATTTGAGAAGCAAACCATCAAATAATAAATCAATAAAAAAACATCGTTTTCCGAACAAGAATATTCAATATGTTTTCGTTTACTATAATATTAAATTGTGTTGTCTAAGGTATATAGAGAGATTATATTCTTGCTGAGTTTACAAATATCCATAATGTTGGCAGGAAAACGATGGTGGTAGGGATAGAGACCGTTTTTTGGTTTGTTTAAAAATATTCAAAGTTTTTTGACTTTTAAGATAATTTATATACAAGGTTACCCACAAAGGTTGAGACTGTAAAGACGACTTCAAACTCCTTAGACATAACGATCCCAAGGTTAAATTAGGTCTTCTCCCTTAAATATAGTCTTTCAACGGCTTATTGAATGATTTTAAGAAAGAGAGAAAGAACTTTACAGTTGCAGAGAATCATGGATATATGTGAACAGACATTATAAATTCCATACAGTCAATACTAAATTCTCGTCCTTTGTGGGTAACCCTATATTTCAAAGCTGTATTCTCTATAGGGTTGTTTTTCTTACAGAGTATACAAATTTTAAAAAAAATTGGTTTAATCATATAAATAAATCATTTTGGTTAATATCTTCTATAAGAATGAAAATTAAACAAACAGAAAAATTTGACTTAAAGAGTACAATGTTTAAATATTATATGTGAACAACTGATAAGTTTGTGTGGCTTCTTAAAACTGAAGAATTGAATGATGCATTTTTTGTTCTTAAACAAAAAACACTTCTCAATGTCCATCTCTTGATGTGGACGGTTTTATAAAAGTATACATGGTGTAAACAGGAGAGAAAATAGGATATTATGTAATCTGCAAAATTGAATAATTTGACACTTTTCGAGTAGAACTGAAATATTTAAAGTTATAAAATTATAAAAGGATATCTTGACTTGGGCAAATCATGAATTGTGATCAAATGTTTTCAAGGGGGTTGTCGGTATTGTCTACTTTAGGGGTTTCAGTTATAGGGTGGATCAAAAGAGTTGGTGGATTAATAAAAGCTATGCACTGTCTTTAAATTTTTTATTTTTATATGTAAAAAACATGAAAATGGCCTTTGAGCTTTATTACAGCCTGTATCCGACTGGACATGAAGTGGGTCAAGTTTTTCGAGGTCTTCATAAGGATCGTCTGACATGTGGTGATCCCTTATCTTTTCAGAGACAGGATTTTGGATGTCTTCATAAGGATCCTCTGACATGTGGTGATCCCTTATCTTTTCAGAGACAGGATTTTGGATGTCTTCATAAGGATCCTCTGACATGTGGTGATCCCTTATCTTTTCAGAGACTGGATTTTATCACCGAGAATAGACTACAGATTTTCGACTAGAACTGGTCAAGGATGTTGGCTATCCTTATACCATTGGTCCAGAAGTGACGTTTTTTTCTTAAAGCAGTCTACGCGTCATGTGGGCAGTGTAGAGATGAACTCCGTCCTGCTGAAAGATTAACTGGGACATGCTTTTTAAATTCCAGGTTGCTGTGCAAAAAAGTTTACTGGACAGTGTATTTTAACGTGTACATACTCACTTTGCACAAATATCATTTAGTAAACAAGGCAGAAAAGTATTTTCAAATTTTGATGAGCCAAAAGTCATTTTCAAATACATGGGGATTCAAATTCAACCCGGATCTAACCTACATTTTAGAAAACCATATCTTTCATTGTAAAATCAATACATTAAATAGATTTTAGTTTTGAAATAAAGGTTGAATTTAAAATCTTGTAGAATATGTGTTTTCTAAAATCTATAAACAGAAAGGAAAATAAAAAAGAACTGAACAGATAAAAAATTTACATTTTTTATTCTGCATGTATCGTACTCAATGGAAATATGTAAATTATAAATATATTCAATTCTCTTACTGATTCCAAAACTTGTTGAAATTGTTGAAATTGTGAATAATCTGGAATATTTGCAGGATATATCCGAGGTTGTAGTTATGTTGTACTCTGGTACGGATCTATTCTCCTTGGCTTCTGTTTCTTGTATGCTCCGACCCTACCCCTTCTACTCATCAGTAGATTCTATTACAGGAGAACTACAGATCTACTCTTCTCATCATGGGAGGCATTTAACACGGTAGATTTACATATTTTTATATATTTACATGTCAATATTTTCCTGGTTTTTTGGAACCGATCGGGTCAAGAACATTTTAGGAACCTTTTGTAACCTCAGGGATTGTTTCTATTCTTTCAATGTCAAAAAAAATATTACTTCGTATAAATTTTTTTTTAAAGGGTTAATCTGTTAATGTGTTAATCTGTAGGAAAAAGATTATTTAAAGGGTTAATCTGTTAATCGGGTATTCTGTTAATCTGTAGAAAAAGATTGATTCAAGGAAAAAAAATCCTGGCTTTGAAACAACATTAATATAATTGCTCAAAGATCGTAATCGTTTTCGTAAACATGCTTAATCTCGATATCCAATTCGCGCACTTTTAAATTTGAGGATAAATGCTTCATTCCTCAATTAAAGTTATCCCTGCAGGGTATGAAACCATCGGATATCGAAGTGGAATAAAAGAATCCGTAGGTCTGCATAACCCTGCTCGATCTCAAGAATTACAACACAAAATTTTAACATCAGAGCATATATAAAATACATATTTGAATGTGATTTTGGTCAAAAGTGAGTCCTATGTTTGTAATTCAGCCATTTTTATTTTGTTCTGAAATAAAATTTGGTTGGCTTACAAACTTCAAGAACAAATGTGATATTTTTCAAGATCCATGCTTAATCTTTGTTAGGTGATAACACAGGTTGCATGTTTTTATTATACATTTAGTGATTTACTTATCACTATAGTTTCAGTAGAAGTAAATATTTCCATTTACTGATAGCGCCGATGGAAGGATTCATAACTCTAATTGGATAATGAGATAGATAGAAATATAGATGTTACCGCTATACTATTTCTATTGGTTCAGAATAGACATCAAACACGTCTGACTGAACCCAGATTGGATCCGGCGCTAATGGACCCGGCATACAAGATTGTATATCAATGTATGTAATAATGCGTTCATATATATGTAGCTATAACACGAGCCTGGTAAGTAATAATTGGGGAGCTAACAATGCTTCTAAATGCAGTACTTCATCAGTCTATCCTGGTGTATGTTTAGACCCTACTGGAGCTTGTGTACGGAGTTGAGATTGTTCTAACCGGAGACTCTATCAAGGAGACAGAAGATTCATTGATAGTGGTCAATCATCCGACCAGGTACATATTTACTTACAGGTAGTACACTGGTACATATTTACTTACAGGTAGTACACTGACACATATTTACCTACAGGTAGTTCACTGACACATATTTACTTACAGTTAGTACACTAACACATATTTACTTACAGGTAGTACACTAACACATATTTACTTACAGTTAGTACACTGACACATATTTACTTACATGTAGTACACTGACACATATTTACTTACAGTGAGTACACTAACACATATTTACTTACAGGTAGTACACTAACACATATTTACTTACAGGTAGTACACTGACACATATTTACCTACAGGTAGTTCACTGACACATATTAACTTACAGGTAGTTCACTGACACATATTTACCTACAGGTAGTTCACTGACACATATTTACTTACAGGTAGTTCACTGACACATATTAACTTACAGGTAGTTCACTGACACATATTTACTTACAGGTAGTACACTGACACATATTTACTTACAGGTAGTACACTGACACATATTTACTTACAGGTAGTACACTGACACATAATTACTTACAGGTAGTATACTGACACGTAATTACTTACAGGTAGTACACTGACACGTAATTACTTACAGGTAGTACACTGACACATATTTACTTAGAGGTAATACACTGATACATATTTACTTACAGGTAGTACACTGACACATATTTACTTACAGGTAGTATACTGACACATATTTACTTACAGGTAGTACACTGACACATAATTACTTACAGGTAGTAAACTGACACGTAATTACTTACAGGTAGTACACTGACATATATTTACTTACAGGTAGTACACTGACACATATTTACTTACAGGTAGTACACTGACACATATTTACTTACAGGTAGTACACTGACACATATTTACTTAGAGGTAATACACTGATACATATTTACTTACAGGTAGTACACTGACACATATTTACTTACAGGTAGTACACTGACACATATTTACTAACAGGTAGTACACTGACAATAGAAATCCTTATATCGACCTATTCAAAATGGTCGTTAGATGAATATTCTTGGCTATTCTGGATTAAGATGGCGAAATGTGTTTGCTCTCCTCGTTTTAAATTTTCCGAATCAGCAAATCGAAAAGTAGTATTCAACAGAGCTTGCTGGTACAAGGCGAACTGTAAAAACATTTTGTGGTTGATATTTTGTCCCTCTGTCCGTCCTATTGGTCCCCAATCGAAAATCTAACAGTCAGTAAAGAGTAAGCCCTGGCTCCAATAGCCTACAAGATGGAGAAATATTACTTCAAATGAAAGCTGAAAGAGGGGTGTCATGCTCTCATGGCATAATTCACTTTTATGATTAAGGAATATCAAACATTTTATTTTCAAAAGCATAGAGAAAAACTAGTATAGCATAAGTCAACAATGAGTCATGAATAAGTGTAATATAACTTGATCAACTCCGAAGTTTAATACAGGGTTACTCAAAAAGGATAAGACTTCAGAGACGATTGTACGGGACTCACACTGTCTGTTTCCTTTTTTCACGATTCCCTGGAACTGTGAACTTGTTTCTTTCTTTGCCAAATAATTAATTATGCCATTGGATTGCTCCATCAGACAACTTAATTTAACCTTGTGATTGTCATATTGTTTCCGGTCGTATTTGCAGTCTTATCCTGTGTGGGCAACCCTGTAAGTTAACATAAAACATTAAATATAGTTTTTTACAGGACGGATTGGAACTTTTTGTGGCCCGCCTTGTTCCATGCTTCTCCCTCCCACAACACAAAGATAGTCCTGAAGGAGGAGCTGAGAAAGATCCCGGGGATGGGTTGGATAATGGCAATGTCAAGGTTTATTTATCTCCGTCGGAACTGGAGTCAAGACTCACAAACCCTGGATAAAATGATGGATTACTACCAGGATACAAGGTACAGTGGAAGAAAATAAACTTGGATTTTTAAATTAGAATTTTTATTTTTCTATTAAAATGTTTAGAGAGGAGGGAGCACGTCAAATTCTACTGTTCCCGGAAGGAACAAACCTCTCGCAGTCTTCAGCGAAGAAAAGCGATGAATATGCAGTCAAGAATAATCTTAACAAGTACAATCATGTTCTGCATCCTAGAACATCAGGTCTGTACTGTACAGTGTACAGTAAGTATACTAGTTGTACAATCATGTTCTGCATCCTAGAACATCAGGTCTGTACAGTGTACAGTGTATTCTAGATGTACGGGAGAACATAAGGTCTGTACTGTACAGTGTAGACTGTACTAGCTTTACAAGCATGTTCTGCATTCTAGAACTTAAGGTCTGTACTACAGTGTACTGTGTACTATTTTTACAATCATGTTCTGCATCCTAGAATATCAGGTCTGTACTGTACAGTGTACAGTGTACTAATTGTACAATCAAGTTCTTCATCCTAGAGCATCAGGTCTGTACAGTGTACACTGTACAGTGTATTCTAGTTGTACTAGAGAACATAAGGTATGTACTGTACAGTATACTTTAATAGTCGAAATCTTTTAAAGAAAAATACTTTTCAAAGATATTTAAGTCGGAAATTTTGAAATAAACGATTTTTTACATCTGTCTTCAAAAATTCTTTTTAAAACTTAAATATAGTAGAGGAAGAAAAACAAATCGTTTCATTTTTAAATATAAAACATTTTTTCCTTCTCTGGTGTCAAAATGAGTCTCATGTATGAAAATATAAAAAATATGTTTCTCTTAATCTATTATTTATCAATTGTCTAGGTTTTGTTCATATAGCTCACGGGCTCAGAGAAAGAAATCTCCTGAGTTCTATTTACAGTCTAACCATCGCATATCCTGATACAGTTCCCAAAACAGAGGTGATAACACGTAGAAAAAAAATTTCATGAATTTGTAACATTCATAAAAAGAAAACTATGAAAAAGGAAGACACCGTACTCTAAAAGTTGTATGATCCGAGATAGTAGAAGATGTACTGTAAATGCATTTACTCCTTCTGTCCAGTCCGTACTAACAAGTGAAGAGTCGACCCAGCACGTCTTGTGCAGCAAATGTAGCATGGCAAGATCAGAGTACGAAACAAGAATTAAAATCCCTACTGCCTAAAAACTTAAAACTTAATCCTTGACCAGATACAAAAAGTTTTATGACCAATGTGACCACATCAACATGCTTAAAATGACAAAAATAATCCTTTTGAGAGACAGTCACGAATATGGGATAACTTTAATGCATAAAATCTAGCCGAAACAATAAAGTGGTCCAAGATTTGAGACGGTTTAAAACCAGTCAGAGTCCGAATTTATTGAATTTGAGCAACGTCTCAAATCCGCCAGGAACGGGTTTTAATTGAGCGCCGGCTTAAATCTTGAAACATCGAATAAAATTTTACGTGGAACCAACCATATTTGAGCCGCGTCTCAAATTTAAGCCGCGGCTCAATTTCTTTTAATTTTGACTCGGGACATTAAAGTGGGCTTTAAAAAATCTTTAAGTAATTGAGTCGGCATAAGGAAGAAAAATAATCTGGCCATTGGAAAGAACCTGTAAAATCATTCGTTGGGATGTTTAGAAAGATGAAAATTTCCCTGTATGATAATTGAAGGATTTATTGGACGTTTTCAAAAAAATGCGAAAAAAATCATTTCTGACACCCCTAGGCTTAGTACGTCAATATAATTCACAAAAACCATACTGCAGTCCTTCAATTATCATACAGGGAAATTTTCATCTTTCTAAACATCCCAACGAATGATTTTACAGGTTCTTTAAAAAATTGATATAATCCAAAGTTGTATATTGTCAGGTTGGACTGTTGAAAGGAAATCTACCAAGACAGGTTCATGTTCATATAGTCAGATATCCGTTAGATCAGGTATATTATAGATTATATCTTTTTTACAAATTTATTTCCATTTTCAAATTTATTATTCAATGAAAAACAGATTTACAATATTTTGGATTATATTTATTTACAATTAATATTCAGTAAAATTTAACTGTTAGTAACATGAAAGAAACTTTTAGTTTCTCTTAGAAGTAATTGTTAAAAGTTTAGTATGTTAAAAATAGAAAGTTTTGATGTCACGCGCTGACTAAATACGGCTTAGTTTGTCCTTGGGTGTATCCATAGATAAAGATAGATTGCGCATAAGACGACATTTTTCATCTTGAAAGATATAAATGTACAGAGATGTTTTAAAGATATTCCTATTATATAGATTACTTAGGTCGGTTGTGAACATTGGCTGTTCTTATGTCTTAAAGCAATGTATGGTGGTTGAACTGAGATTGCAGTAGTGTAGAGAATTTTTTTAGGATTCATTTGAGACCTATTAATCGTTTTTAAGATCTATAATTACTGAGTTTGAGCGCAAAGTCGACGCTCAAAATCATCAATTTGGGTGGGTTCGTTTTTTAGGATTGTTTTTTATTAATATTAAATAACGACGACGAAAAATATCGTAAAAATTCTATAGTAAACTAATTAAATGTTTAAGAACATATCTCTCAAAATAAATTCGTCAATAAATCAATGTTAGAATCAATTATTTCGTTTTCATTATTATATTGAATTTCTTATCTTCTTTAAAATTTAGTCGCACATTTCTTCAAATTCTTCAAATGTCGTCTTTTCAATAATAATTTTAGAAAATCTGCGAAAATCTTTGTGAATAATGAGAAACCAGAATAATGAGAAAATAGAAACTAATAATTGAACAGATTACTTATTTTCGATGATAAGAGTTATTTTTATTTTCTCAACCTGTTCCTAAACAACTAATTAGATTACTGGTGAATTTTTGTTACTTTTTTTGTCGTCGTTATTCAATAATCTTAAAAAACCTATTCTCAAAACGAACCCACTCAAATTGATGATTTTGAACGTCGACTTTGCGATCAAGCTCAGTGATCATGCATCGTGGAAACGTTTTATATATCTTAAATGATTCCTAAAAAAATTGTCCACAATACTACATTTTCAGTTCAACCACCATACCGGTCACTCCCTTTAAACATAAAAATAAAATAAAGTGTTATTAGATAAATAAGAATAGTTTAAAGGTTTTAAGGGTACTGTTGTGAATCGGGCACACCATGGACAGTTACTACAGTTCCCTTTTAAACTTATGACTTATGAGTAACTCTGTCAATAGCTAGTAATATCAGAGTGAATGAAGAGTAGTATAAAATAATACCCTGGAGCCTTATAACAGTAAAAAGTCGAATAATATCTATTGAAGAAGCCATTGCTGGACATTATGTAAATATATTCTAATTCGAAGATAAGGTTTCAAACATTATTCAAAGCATATAAGTTTATTATTATCTAAATAATCCAGGGAAACTGCAAAGTTTAGACAGAATATTTAACATATAAAATCTAGAATGCCTCGTCATAAAAGCAATTTTACTACAATTATTTACTACCCTAATTCATAAAATTGTTACAAAAAACTTCTTTTGTTTAGTTTAAAGCGAAAAGACAAAAAATTAACAAATAAAAGGCCATAAAAATACTACGTTGTGTGAAAGACATGTTTTTACTAGACAGGGAATGACTATAACGCTATGTCCTGTAGAAATTTAATTTTTTAAGCTCTTCACTCATCAGTTTTAGATTTGAAAAGTGTTATAGTTATAGGGGGCGGTCACTGCCCCCCTTGCCCCCCCCCCTGTATACGCCCTTGATTCCTTGATTGCACTGCAGTTGGAATTTGAATGAATTTGAAGTTTTAAAGACGGAAAAAAAATATTTATGCCGAAAAAAGCTTTCTATAGACATATTTTTGGGTTGATAACTTGGAGATAATTTGATACTAAAGCTTGGTAACTAATCTTTTTCTAGAGGTTTAAAAGGACTATTCGTGAAAAATGAAAGGGGGTATATAGGCTTACGTCGAAAAATATTCGATGGTGATCACTACTAATCTTACTTCTATCTGTTGCGTCTATAAGGAGAAAATTGTTAAAAACCACTCATACCGAAGAACGTAGCGTCCACCACACAAATTCAGAAAGTTTCAACGTTCGACTCGGATCGTAAAAAATCAATTTAATTCCAAACAAATCATTCAGATATTACAACCTATAATTGTCGATTATTTTTCGACGCATTCGTAAATAGTTGATACAGAGGCGCAACTAGGACTTTTGCTAGGGGGGGCAATATATTATTTTGTAATGGTCGGGGGGGTTAAGTGGGGTTTCCCCCCTTTTCGAAAATTTTTCTAAAACAAAAGTGCTTTTTTAAGGGTTTGAAGTCGAAAAAAAGGAAATTTTAAGTTGTTGCATGCAGATTTGGCTGTGTTCAATTCAAATCGATTTTTTGTTCTTGTGTTTTTACAAAATTTATACTTCCAACTAGGGTTTCAATTCGCAAAACTTTTGCGGAACGAAACGCAAAATTTTTCTTTCTTTGCGCATCAGTTTTGCGCGAAAAAACAACAATTTGCGCAATCATTCGCAAAAGTCATTTCGCGCAAAATTGCCCTATTATGCTTTTGCGAAAGTCAAGTTTTGCGCAATTCTGCAACTAGATTTTTGCGCAATTTCGCAATTTCGTAAAAATCAAACGGTTGGTGACGGTGTGTGTTTCTTAGAATTCAATTCTTCCAGTGCTGGAAGGTTTTGTACCAAAATTCGAAAGAGATTGTTCAGCAAAAGTCTCATCAATTTTAGTTTTGGACATGCATATTTCCTAAAAGTGGATTCTTCAGGCATTGGTTACTTTCTTGCATTATTTTGTATGAGATTAAAAAGATTTCAGAAATTTGATTAAACAAATTTAAGAATATAATTCATACTTGAGTAGGCAAAGCTTTTAAGGGTTGCACTTGAAATTATTTAATAGGATTAAAATAATGCCAAGTTTCACACTCTCTAATTTCTATTTTATAAATTTTGGTCCCTTAATTTAAACTTTTTGTAACTGGTAGTAACCAATTGAGTGTAGTATAATCGTTATCATACTCGTATGTTAATATTTTTTATGTATGGAATAAATAAAAAATTGCGCAAAACTAAAATTTCGTTTCATGCGCAACTTTCGCAAAAAATATTTCCGGTTTTGCGCAAAAAATAGTGCAAAACCGCGCAAAACTCATTGCGTTTCATGCGCAAAAATAGCGCAAAAGTTCGCAAAAAAAAATTTGGGCGAAAACAGCGCAAATTTGGCGCAAAAGATTTAGCCATTTCGTGGAAACCCTACTTCCAACAGCTGTATAAAGAATGTTATGTGTCAATTCATAATCATTGAATATGTGTGCGAATCTCAAAAGAGTATTTTTTAAGTACATGGTCTAATTACAGATTAAATTGCAAGAAATAATCATAAAAATACATAGGTAAATAATAAATTCAATCATCTACATTGTAAAAGGACAGATAATGTTACCTTTTCTCTTGAAGTTATTGAATTAATGATTGATCTAACCAATATTCATAATCTAAATTCATTTTCGATTTTATAGAACTTCTGTCAAAGAAGATAAATCTTCTTAGTTATGAAATATGATAATCAGTTAGAAATTTGCCAGGTTCAGAATTTTCTCTAGATTTGGAACTGATTTTTTGCCACAAACTCAAATATTCTAATCCCTAAATCTTTGCACCGAGTGGTGTAAACATTTGATATTTTAAACTTGGAATATTTTACCAAAAGAATTTAAAGTTTGATATCTACGAGTACTCTATAAACTCAACACAAATAAAATACAGTTCAGAACTTTTTTTACATTAAATGTTTACAATAGCCTTTAGCCTTGAGAATTGAGAAAGATAAAAATATATTTTTTAAAACTAACTATAGTATAATAAAATTTCTCTATTTGTTTTCTTATTCCTGTGATACTGATTTTCGCCATTCTTTCTTTCTCTTCATTCTGCAGGGGGGGCGCGCCCCCCCTCTCAGGTGCTAGGGGAGGGCGCGCGCCCGGCCGCCCCCCCTAGTTGCGCCTCTGAGTTGATATTTCATAGTATTTTTTACTATTTTTTTGGTCGTTAGGTGTCGTTGGAGTCTATTAAACATGGAACTCTAGAAGCATCGAGAGCAGAGACACCTAGCGGCCTAATAAACGTGCTTTAAAGTAATTGTATATAAAACGAGTAAAAAATAATAGGAAAATGTCAACTTTATACGAATGCGTCGAAAAATTATCGCCTATACCCCCTTCCATTTTTCGCGAACACTCCCTTTCAACTTAAAAAAAACCAATCAAAATCAAATAAAATAGGCGTACAGGATTTATTATCGGACATAATAAAAATTAACAGACAAACAGATACAGATGATGAGGATTATTAGTACACATACCATAAATTAGATCCTAATTGGTCTACTATCCAGAAACTTATTAGAAGATGGTTAGAAAGAAAAATTGTATCTAAACTTTGGGGAGGAGAGTTTATCTTATTCCGATAACTCACAAAAAATCCAAGCTCTAAATAATACTTTATTAAATTTATCTAGGTACCTTCCACATTTGTCGGGTTAGAGAAATGGATCCAGGAGGTTTGGAGAGACAAGGAGAAACTTCTGGAACGGTTTCAAGAAACTAAAGAGTTTATTCCGTTGACTCAGGAGCAGAGACTTCCTTGCAGAACTCAAACCCTTCAGGTGCAATATTCTCTATTTTGTTTGTACAGAGTGTCCCAATAAATATGACAGTTGAAAATAGATTTTACCGATTTAAAATTCGGTGATGATGATGGACCAAACCTCTGTAGAGTAAAAAAGTAGATGTTAGTTGCACATTTTACCGATCAGCTTTGATCTTTGAAGAGCTTGAAACAATTTGGATCATATGCCCTAACTGCTAAGTCTTTTCTTACTTTGATGTATCCTTGTAGCTTTAAATCTTTTGCTTTCTTAGCAAAATAATTTTGAATACAAAAGACTAAATATTAGATATAAGACTAAAATTTATAATGTATAATAGTTTTCTCTGTATTAGCCTATGTGCCTGGTAGCGTGGTTCCTATTCTTGTATTGGGGACTTTGCAGTGTTTTTACAGTGTGCGGTATTCTGTGGATACTACTAGTATCTAGTATACTAGTATATACAGGTAGACACATTTTAAATACTACAGTCGTCGTCGTATATATCAATATAATGAAAGCTACTTTTGATTTCTACTAAGCTTTTAAACAGCATGGATACACATAAACATGGAAACAAAAAATGAAGCTGCCTATAAAAATCTTCTCTTTGTTTAATTGTAAACTTGTAATTAAAAAAAGGCTTGTTGGAAATCAAAACTTAAACAGAAAAGTCGTCCTTATCGTATTGATATAAACGCTGACCACTATATTATACAGGTAGATAAACATTAAATACTATTTATCTACCTTCCCTTCCCCCATCATCCTTTTCTCTTCTTAACTCACCTAACCTCCCCCTTTTCTCCATATTCCTTATTTATCTTTAGAATAGGAAGGGAAGACAAGACATATTGAGGTATAGAATATTAGGTGTTGCGTGGGGTAGGCAAGATTTGAGGGGATAGGATATTGTGTAGGGGAGGTTAGATGATGGGGTGGAGGGTAGGGAGGTTGGGGAACATGGGGCGAAGGAAGTTGAAGGAAGGGTTGTAAAGAATATTGAACTGAAACTCCACTATGGAGAATAATAGTATATTTAGAGCACTATACTCCTGGTATCCAGAATATTGAACTGAAACTCCACTATAGAGGATATGATAATAATATATCTAGAGCACTATACTCCTGGTATACAGAATATTGAACTGAAACTTCACTATAGAGGATCTGACTCCAGAATCAAGACCAAGAACACAGAGGAAGAATCCCAGGTCAGTATATAATGTTTAACAGGTGAAAATGTTTCTTGTATTTTCATCAAATATCAGTATCCCAGAATAATGTTGAAAGTATATGCATTACATTTACATTGTAAAGAAAATGAGGTAAAATTCGTGCTAGAATTTTATTTGAAATTAGTCCAGACCGTGTTTCCAATATCACAAGAATTTGCAATATCAGAGTTTAGAAGAGAATTTAACACTATTCAATATCTTAAACATTTCATTTCGATTTGATACAATTTCAATAACACTTTTAATAAAACCGTTTTCTAATCCTTTCCGAGTAATATCAGCGATACTAGGAATTTTTCGGGGTTTAATTATTTTATTTTGATATTAAAGATTGTCATAAAATGCAAAAATTGACGATTTTGTGTTGAAACTAAGATTTGGAATTTTCCGGATTATACTTTTACTTATTGTTCTTATCTTCTTAAATGCAAACATTGAAATGAAGAAGATATAAAAGTATTAATTTCTTTTCATGAGATGCTAATTCCCCGTTTTTTTTTCCAGGACGATTTTGAGCATGTGAAAGACAACTGAAACAAGACTGATTTAAAATGAAGAGATTCAAAAGAAAATAAATCAATTAAAAATAATTATGAGAAGTATAACAGTTGTTCTCTTGATAGATAAATAGTAGTATTGGTGGAGGGGTTATACTTATGAACACAAACTAACAGTTTCCGAATCCATAACCCTTCCTCAAAACTTTATAAATGTTTTTCAAAAAACCTTTTACTTAAAAATTACGATCAACGACTAACGAGTCTGGAAAAATATTTGGTTTTCTTGAGAGGTTTTGTATCGTTAAGAGTTAACTTTTAGAATATTATAATTTAAAATTAACCATTAACAAACAAACTTAAAAAGTGTGGATACAATAAATAGAATGGATAAACAGTGTTACAAAGGATAAGACTTCATAGACGACTGTGCGTAATTTATACCGTCAGTTTCCTTATATCCATGATTCCCTGAAAATGTAAACTTGTTTCTTTCTTTGCTAAAGCATTTAATAAGCCAATCAAAGACTATATTCAAGACGTAAGACTTAATTTAATCTTAGAATCGTATAATTTTAAAAGTTTCAGGTCGTCGTTTAAGTCTCATTCTTTGTGGGAACCCTGTGTAAAGGACAAGTTTTGATATAATTTACTCGGTGGGGTATCATGTAGCACATTCAAGTACATTACATAGTAGCTGCGACCCTAGACTTGCAATTTGTCTTTGATTTTAATAGTTGTAAATGAGTATAGAAAATCGAGTATTTAAACTTAGTACAATTCAGCCCCCTCTTTGTGTCATTAAAACTGTCGGAGATAAAGAAGTTGAAAAGCTTTTTTTATATCAGTAATTATGTTTTATATTATAATTACTTCTTGGTGGTTCATAACTTAACACGTATCAACTCAATTTATTTTCTATTTTACTCATTCTTTGGTTATAATTATAACTATAATAATAATAAGAATTTTCTCATAGCTGCAAAATAGGCATAATCGGCCTCATTTAGATATTTAATCTTTCAACAAGAAACCCACCGACTAACATTGCTCTCAAATAGAAGTTTGAGAACGTGTTTCAAGGCAGTGGAATACTTTTTTTGTTAAGTTACTGTCAAAGTAATTTCACAAGACCCTCAAACTGAAGATTTTATAGAACACTTAAGACGATTTGAAAATATTTAGATTTTTTCTGTAAATCGTTACTGTCCCTTTATTATGAATGGGTTACATGCAAATACAATCTTAAAACTTTAGCTTCAACTTAAACTTTTTTGTTAATTAAGTATTTATTTTTAAGTCTGGGTATAAAAGCATATTTGTAAAATTCAAACAAAAAATTTTAGATCTTAGAAACTAAATGGCAGGATTCAATGGACAAAAATATATATTATATATATATTGTATTTTTAAGTAATGTGTTAATTGTACCGTGAGGCGTATTAGATAAGCATTATTAGCTGCATGCAAATATAATAAAAGCATTCAATTACATTATATATTCATTTTTTTAACAATACAGTACACAGGGATTTAGAAATGCTTAATAAAAAAGAAACAGAAAAAGCATGGTCAGAAAAGAGAAATACAGTGCTTAAACTTGGATGGGATGGGGGGGGGGGGGGGCTAACAAAGTTTCCCAATTAAGCCTCTGAAACCGTTAGTACTGGAAGGAATTGGGCATAAATAAAACCGACTCGGTTGTCTATATTGAAGACCGTTGTATGAGACCAATTCTCATGAAAGACTTTCTCACATAGATAATAAACATAGAAAAACGGAATAAATGGTTGATTTATAATAATAAACTGGACATAAAATACTTTAAAGAATATCTCTAAGCAGACAATAAATTTAATCTAATCTGTAAAAATATTTTGAGATCATTTGACCTCGGCATAAAACTTTATCTGGGAGAGGGGGAGAGACTGAGCTGAGAATCTCCGGGATTTATTGTGGCATATCCGGAGAGGGTTGCAACTAGGTTCAATCCTGACGCTGAGCTGACTTGGAGATGAGCGCCAAACCGTCCAGGTCGGATTGGTTTGAACTGAACAGGAAACCGGGAGAAACTTTGACTTTTAACCTGTAAAAATCAATAAATAGAAAAGGTTTAATTACAAATCTAATAAATTTTTAAAATTAATTTTACACAAACCTCCAGAGTCTCATGGATAATTAAGAACGGGCTCCCCGGTTCCAAGAACACTTTAATGAACTGATTTTCGGGAGTTCGGTTCTTAATCATAACCTGATAAAAAATCTCAATTAAAAGTTTTAATAATTAAAAACTAGATTTAGAAAAATTTACCTTTAGAACTTGAGTTCTCCCAACCGCAGTTTCAAATACAATATTATCCTTCTCTAAGCTCAATGTCCCCTTGGACTTTTTAGCTCCGGTTGTTTTACCAAGGGTTAAATCTGTATCCTGTCTAGAAGGGGTGGAGACTGGATAAGTGTTGAGTAGATGAGAAGGAGAACCAGGTTGAGGGGGCAGGAAGACGGGTTGATTAACATTGGAAAGGTTTACAGATGTAGGAACTCTATGGTTAGGGTTAGAGTAGGAGATGGCGGCCAGAGGTAGAATATCTGTCGTGAACGCATCTATGGAATTGATGGGTTGGTTTTTAACTTGATCTGAATACTGAAGGGATACTCCGACTCCCTGAAGAACTGAGGAGACAGGAGGACCAGCAGTAATACCATCTTTTCCTCCCTAAATAAATCATGGATTAAGCAACATTTAGAATTCAAGAGTTCTAAGTTACCACTGCAGCAAAATAATCTTCAATCTTAAACTAAATATAAAAGCGATTTTTAAATTTAAAGTAATAAAAGAAGTTACTGTATTCATCAGAATGTTGATTAAAACATAAAAATGTTAATTGATAATTAAAGTAATAGGAAACCATTAATTTATTTTAAAATTGTAATCAAGAATATAAACCTACCCTAAGAGGATTAAGAGTAAAGTCAAGAACAGCTCTGGTAGCTCCTGGAGCCTCAGGTTTAAACATGATCGGCACACTCACAGTCTGTGACGGGTTGAGAAGACCATTGGGTTGTCCCAGGGAAAAATATGATTTCTCAATAAAACCTCTCCACTGAACCAGGTCTGCTGTAGGATTACTCAGGTTCACAGTTCTCCGGTCCTGAGAACCAACAACCACGTTTCCGAATTCTATCAGAGTAGGATTAACTACAAGCTTATGCACGGAGAAGTTGGCAGGTTTAATAAATACGCTAATAGTGTCTACAGCATGATCACTAAATATTTCAACCTGACCCTTCCACCCCTGAGGATCAAGACTAATATCTTGTCTAGTTGAGATGAGCAGGATTGCTTGAGCTCCAGGTGCAAGTTGACCTGCAGGAGGAGAGCAGGTTAGGTGTCCTGAAGACCAGCTTAAGTCCCAGTGTACAATAGAAGATCCCAGATTGGATATTTTAACTATGGATTCCGTTCCAGGATCAAGAGAAACAATACTCGGAGAAATCTGAAGTTGAGATCTAGTGCGCACTGTATCTGTTGTTGGGGGACTGTGAGGAATTGAAGTAGCGTTAAGACGGGTTTCGCTCAACGTTTCTTCTACGGTTAACTCATCAAATGTTGCAACCTTCTCTGGTAGCTGAATCTTGATTGTATGCTTCTCTGTCTTATTATACAAGTGCATCACGTCTTCTCCTGTTAGATCTCCGCTGAACTGGGCGGATGTGATCTCCTCCTCCCTTGGGAACTTCATGGAGAAATCCACTCCATGAATCGCAGGACTCCCACTCAGTCTAGCGGCTCCGGGAAGTGTTTTTGCCCTTCGGTAAACATTTCTCACTATCTCTGGTCCAAAAAAAACTAATATAGTGGCAGAATTAAAGTGAAATTCCATGGAGAAATTGACAGCGACTATTCTAGTTTCTCCTTTACTAAGAATAAAGCAGTCTGGAGATATCTGAACCTTGAAAGATTTCCTACCTATCTCCTCTGTACACAGAAGTTTAACAAACCCTGGAGAACTACCGGTATTGGTAATTCTAAACTCCCGTCTTGTCGGAGGTTCTTTATCCATGTTAACTAGATAGGACGACTCACTTACAGATTTCAGATCCAGGATTTGGATATCGGAGGAACCGGCAGATCCGACCAGGTTAAGACTAGCTTTTATAATTTTCCCTCCTACCTTCATATTTTGAGGTTTTAAAACCAGTTTTCCTTTGAAAGTGCTCATTATGTTGGGAGAAAATACTAGATTCAGTATCTTGGTTTCTTTAGGAGCAAAGACTAGTTTAGTCGAGGTTTCTAACCCGGCAGGTCCTGAGATTTTAAAACAATCTGCGTCCCGGATCATGATGTTGAGCACAACTGTCGAGTTGGATGAGTTTCTAAGATTTATAACTTGTTCCTCTGAGCTTCCAGGTTCAACTGCAAACCAGTTTATCAGAGATCTATCCGCTTCTACAGGAAACCTATCAAGGTTCTCATCTCCTCCCCCCATTACACCAAGCTTTAAACCAGGATTGTTGGAACTAAAAATAGATGCCTGAGCTTTAGGAACGATGTTTATTTGAGAATGAAGTTTGTGGACGATGTTTCCAGGTTGAGTTGTGAATGTGAACTCAATTGAACGCTTCCCGTAAAATCCGGCATAAGAGTTAAACTCCAGAGTAAGAGGTTTCACAGAACCAGGAGCAAGTTGGAACCGTTTCTCAAACATAAATCTTCCCTCCGGTATATTAGCTGTAGAAACTTCTACATCTAGAGCGAGGGAACCCTGAGCCAAAACTTGTATGGTTTGAACACCCTTTTCTCCAGATATACATGTAAACTGCTCGATCCCAGTAGTCGGGAGCACAAGTTTAGAGAAACAAACTCGGAACAGGATTTCAATAGTTCCAAGGATAATCTCGCTGGTGGCTGATCCAAGCTTGACAATAAGTTTAGCAGCGTAAACACGGGGATCTGAATACTCAGGAACATGTCCTGCGTTCCCCCAGACCTTGATCTCTTTTGCAACCGCTTCCTTACCATTCCCCTTAGTACCTGGGATCTGGAACTCCAAAACCTTCTCAGTGTTAGATTGTGAGAATGAAAAGATGGAACTGGATGAAACTAACTCAAGGTAGAGATGGAGATCTGGAGTTCCTCCGTTCACCAGCATAATTGGAACACTCGTCACACTTCCAGTTGGAACAGTTCCAAAATCTATACTTTGTCCGTTCCTTGTAAGAACCCGAAGATTTGGTTCCTCTACTTGAAATCTCGCCATACCAGTGCTAGATAACCCACCAGGAGAAACTAAACCAAGGTTCAATGCAAAGGCTCCTTCTCTCTTGGCAAAGAAATCAAGCTCCACAAACTTAGTTTCCGAATTAACTGTCACTAAGGTCTCAGAGCTAAAGTTCAGCACATTCTTCCAGAACTCTTCTGGAATATCTAAGCTTCCGATCCATATCTTGGAAACCTTGATTAATGCTTGAACCTCGAAAGTTAAATTATGAATTATTGGCACCTGCAGTTTGTTCCATGAATGAGAACTAAATGTATCATTACTCTCAAAATCTGTCATATAAAGCTTTTGAAAGTACGGTTCACTGATCTGTGCTGCCGAAGTTACTGGACAGACTGAAGCAGGTCCTCCTCGTCCCACTGATTGGGGTACATGGAGAGACGTGTAAAAGTCAGGACTTACTGTGCTTACGTCTAGGTTAACGGCATTGATTGATAAATCCGGGTTCACTAGCGGAGAAATAGATTTGTTCCTGGTAAGATTATCTAGAATGACGGTGGAAAGGTTCAGGTTTGGATGGAATGGCGTTGACGTGTGTAAATGTTTTCTTGAGGATAAGTATAGACTTGGCGTTGTCTCCGCTTCTTGAAGAAGATTATTTAAATCCGTAGAAGGGGTTCGGTTTGTTGGGACAGTTTTCTTTGGAGATTTCTTGATCGGAGAACTGTGTCGGGTTGCTGATGCTCTTCTCCTCCTTGAATTGTCTAGATTGTAGGGAACTGAGGAGGATTTACTGAGAGGTGGTGGAGTTGGAGTATCTCTAGGAGTTGGAGGTTCACTCACAGAGTTATGTTTAGATATTGGTTTTACTGAGCTAGATAGAGGATTTTTATTTGACGTAGAAGATCTTAGTTTCTCTAAAGATCCCGTGATTTCGTTTCGGAACCCGATGCTTTTCACGTCAGACAGATTTCTTCGGACTTTCTCCAGAGAATTTGGTTTCGTATTCTTCGGCGTTGTAGTGAGTTCAACACTGGTTGCCTGAGAATGATTTCTTTGAGAGAGAATACTGTTCCGACTAGTTCCAAACTCTTTATCCAGGGTCTTCATACAGTGCTCGTCTAACATACTGTCTAGAGACTTATCCTCAGTGTTCATTTTACCAAGCGTTGTCCCAGATTTATCTTCATTTTCTAGTTTTGCTTTTAATGAGTTTCGGATAAGATTTACGAAGTGTTGTGGATCAGAGCTTAGACTGGCGTCCGAGAGGGCTCTACTAATGGTCTTAAGGGTGATTTCTCCCTCCACCAGGGCCTGCAGAGATTTCTCCAGTTCTCTATCCTGTCCTAAGCTATCCTCAACTACATCAGGATAACTGACGTTCGGTCCCCCTGGACTTCCTAAAATAAAGTTAAATAAATCTCAGAATGTTTTAGTGGAACTAAAATAAACTTAAAACAAGAACTTATACATTTACCTAGCTGATCAGCCAGAGCTTCCAGCCTATCAGCTAAATCCTCAGCCTTCAGTGTACCCGACTGATCACAAAGAGAAACCACGGTCTTGGTACTTTCTCCCGACTGCATATATGTAGTTTCTGCTGAGCTCTGTCCAGACCCTGATCCACCACTCTCTCCGCTCAATCTTCCTTGATGAACCTGAGAAGTTTCACTGTTTCCGCCTTGGGACTCCTTCATCTTCTCCGTACTAGAGATGGTACTGATGCCAGGAACCAAATCAGTGAGCCGGTGTGATGATTGACTGCTGGGTCCTATACTATATGTAGCCCGACTAGACTCATTACTAGAGCCAAAACTTCCGTCCAAGAGAGGTTGAGGACGGTGCTCCGGAGATCTGATCTTGTGAACAAACCCGAATACCGGTCTTTCTCCCTCAGGTATAGAATCTTCGAGGGAACCGAGCCTAAAAACATATGGACTATTTATCTCAGACTGAATAATATCTCTGCCCTCCATATATCCCCCAAGTAGAATTAAATCCATAAAATAGCAGAAAGACATTTACACATTATCCAATAAGCAAAAAAAATCCTACAATGCAATCCCTCGAAATTCTAATCCGATCTAAAAGCTCCCACCCCGTTTGGAAAACCCAGGCCACCATTGGATGAATACACTCAAACATCCGGCCCCCGTTCATCCTTGGATAAAGAAATAAAATTTTCAAAAAATAAAAATTTTAAATACCTGGAAGAATTATGTCTGAAGTATTCACATCTAGACAATCTAGTTTCTTCCCGTAATTTCTCCAGGTTTACTCCACTAGTGTCCCCAGCCCATAAACGGTTATTACGTAGAACAATACTCTGATCGGATATTCCGGAGAACCCTGAAGTATTCTGGGGTTCCTCCATAGGTTCTTCTTCAAGAAACTGATTCTTTTCCAGACACTCCTTCTCCTCCTGATCCAGGAACTCCGTCAAACCCTTCTCTCCGACCTGATCGAACTCCTGGAACTCATCTGAATCCTGAGCCTGCACCATGTTATCCATATCATCAAATGGATTGAAGGCTTGATGCGGAGGAAACCCACTATGGAACACGCTGTCATTCTCGTCCTTAACAGATATAAAAATTTATGAGAAATTAAATCAGATAATTTACTTTTTTTAATTAATTAATCCAACCTGGTGATAATCAGAGTATTGACTAAACCCTGAGCTGGAAGCGTATGTATTTGCAGGTTTAGAAAAATCACTAAAGTTCTCGTCTCGCGTCGAGTCTCCAATTTTTCCTGAGTAAAAATTACCTTATTCCATATTTTAAAAAGAACTTTTCTTCGGTAGACAAAGTAAATACGACGTAAAAACAACAATATGGTTCATTCATAATTGACTGCTACAGCTGTGAGTCCAAAAATAGAGGTATATTTTTTCAAGAGGGGTAAATTTTGATGCTCTGAAAATAAAAATAAAAATGAATAAAAAAAAATTGAACATTTAGGAAAATAAATATAAAACTATATAAACTTCGTTTCCGCCGTGCAAAAAGAGTTCTGTAATAGACTGGAGAAATATTAATAATCGAAACCGGAGCTGAACTGATTTTGGAATAAAAAAGACGGCCGTAAACAAACTTGTTACTGATTACATGACAATATTTTTTTGTTTCATGATCAAGAATATTCAAAAAAGAATGTTATAATTGTGAAAATGTTTATAGAATTGTAAAGAGACATCAATAGTATCACTAGTTGAAACATGTTACTAACTTAAGAGGAGCTAATCCCAAACATTAAAACCATAAAACTGAGACTGCTCTGATTAATTGCCTTTTTAGTATTATTACATACCTGTAGGTCCCAGGGAGGTTGATCTTGCTGAGATCTTGCCAGAGCAGAAGGACGGATCCAAGGGATCATTTAGCTCCGACTCTTCATCAATTCTTGACTTCATCTAAATTTAATAAAAAAATTAATTGATCTAAGATATCATATTAAATAAAAAAAGTTTTTTGAAGACATAAGCTTTAAATATACTCCTTCATAACAAGCCTGGTTAGCTGTTACTAAGTATCCGAACTCGACGGAAAGACGTTAATTCTTTCGTTTAAATCTGGTTCTATGTGTAGGCATCAAGGGAGCTCAGAACATTCAGGTTCTTATAAACTCTCTCCAGTTTCTTGTGGCTAAACAGAACCCTGTGTGGAATAACATGGCAGTACATCCTACTTGGAAAAAAAATAATAAGGCAGAGAAGGAGTCTTGCCAAAAGAGACGGGAACTCTGTAAACCTTGGATTAGAATCCTGAGCAGGATGCACTACTATACCAGTTTAAACTCTGCCGGCTGCAAGGAAAAGATTGATGTAGATGAGGCTGTATTTTGAAGCACTGTGTCCGAGATGAACTTACAAGAACCAAAATACTTTTGTCGAAAATAATAACTCCTTTTCTAACCTTTCTTATCCAATTTGTCATTAAGGCAAATTCTGACAATTAATATCGTCAAAGTTTTCAAACCCCATTTAGTGCAGTGAAATATTTTTTTCTCCAATCTGTAAGAATATTAAATTTATGTTTGAACCTGAACCTTCAATCAGCTGAGTCAGCATTCCTGGTAAAACTGAAAACTGCAGATTAGCAAAAAAGAAAATACAAGTCAGAGAATTTTTTAAAAAAAATTTGTTAATTTATTTTCATTTTTTTATTTTTCAGGGCTTCCAATAACAATTATTTTTAGCTGTGAAAAAAAACATGAATTATCTGTTAATTGTGACTCTAGCAATTCTTCTTTTATACCTGGATACTAGGATGCTTAGGGATAAGCTGCTCCCACGGGTATCCTGATCCGTTAAAGGATAATTGAGCAGAATCATTCCAGGACTGCTGAGCAGAACTGTTCTCCATCAAGGACTCGAATTGACCCCAACCTACTGGTATCCTAAGGGAAAAACTCTTGTTAAAATTAAAATTACATAGGGAAATGATAAATTACGCATTTTCACAAATTCTTAAATTAATTTGTTATAAAAAATGGTGTAATTTAAAATAAAAAATATATATAACTCATAGAGAAGTTAACATGCATAAAGAACGACCTATAGAGCAAATGACGTATGTCAAATAGCATCTAACTAGAACTAGTGTCGTAGCGTCGTGCAGTACCAATAATAACATATGCTTTGTGTTTCTTGAACTAATTGTGTATTAAAATGGTCAGCACATATATATCATTACAGTGTCGGTCGCCAATATGGTGATATAATTCAATTATATTTATTATAATTATAATTCAATTTCAGTCTCTGATAATTATTTTGTATATACACCGACCAGTCTTTACTATGTAGCAGATAATTATAGAAAATTACAGTTAATGTACTGCAATATGGCAGCCTCTATATTGTATCACAATTGCAGTAACGATTCTGTATGGTATTAAACAAAAATAATTTTTTATTGATTTTATGTAAATTGCTTTTTATTTGGTTGCAAAAACCTTGTCCAACCTTGGGGGAAGTTTAGGCGAGTCCTGGTTATCTGTATTGTTGAGACTATAGTTGGCAGCGAGAAGAGCAGACGGAACACCCTGAATAATAGGATTTATCTTCCCGGATTTTTAATAAATTATGTTAGATTAAATAGCCTAAGTTTAAAATATCAAAGGTTTACAGTACCATCAGGTTGCAAAGTCATAGGTATTATAAAATTTGAGTTTTTTGCAAGAACTCAGTTCCATTATGTTGTTACAATTTATCAGAGGTGGCTTAGGGAGTAAGCTTAAGAAATAATATTCTTGGAAAATACGAGGGATTGTGTCATCATACTAAGTATTGGGGATGTCTCTTGCCTTTGCACATTGAGGTATGTCTCTCCCCCTTGCAAGTTGAGGTATGTCTCTCCCCCTTGCAAGTTGAGGTATGTTTTTCCCCTTGCAAGTTGAGGTATGTCTCTCCCCCTTGCAAGTTGAGGTATGTCTCTCCCCCTTACAAGTTGAGGTATGTCTCTCCCCCTTGCAAGTTGAGGTATGTCTCTCGCCTTGCAAGTTGAGGTATGTTTCTCCCCCTTGCAAGTTGAAGTATGTCTCTCCCCCTTGCAAGTTGAGATATGTCTCTCCCCCTTGCGCAAGTTGAGGTGTGTCTCTCCCTCTAGCAAGTTGAGGTATGTCTCTCCCCTTACAATTTGAGGTATTCTCTCCCCCTTACAAGTTGAGGTATGTCTCTCCCCCTTGCAAGTTGAGGTATGTCTCTCCCCATTGCAAGTTGAGGTATGTCTCTCCCCCTTGCAAGTTGAGGTATGTCTCTCCCCCTTGCAAGTTGAGGNGACATTTTTGAAAATGAACCATGTACCATGATCCAAGTTTTATGTTATATTATACTATGTATGTCGGGCACCTTCTTGATTTATAAAAAACCATTCGTTCCACATTCGTTAAGTTGGGATCGTTTCCATCTTAAAGTTTCACCTCCGTTCGTTAATTTTCCAAAGTATGCGATTGTAAAATATCAAAGATCTGCGACATTAGTTTTCAAAGTTTTAGGTACAAGAAAGGAGGTTAAAAGCATTAAATTTTGATAATTTTGATACCATAATATTTTCCTATGACCAGAATATTTCATTGACTTTTTATGTGAAAGATGGATCCCATGTCAGGCTTTGAGATCCGTCCTGTGTTTACATTACCGCCCAGAAACAGTACACTGCAGTACAAAAGATGTGTTCACTTCTGAAATAACTTTCCTTGCATTACATCCTTGGACGGACTAGTCATCATGTTAATATCTGAACAGTGTACTTACATATTTTAACCACAGAAACGCTTGTAATTAATGTTTGTATGCAAGCTGAAATTCCTTTCGAACTTATAGAACCGCATTTTGCATAGAAATATTCGGGAAACTATGTAGGAATTTTTCTACGGGAAGACTTTATTCGAAGGAGGTTCACACTGAACGATTAAACAATCCGCACTAAAATTTCAGACAGAAAAACAATGATTTCTTTGTCATTGATAATCAGAGAAAGGTTTTAAGGTTCCCGTTTAGAATCGTAAATGTCATTTTATAAATGGAGGGTTGCATTAAATAACTTTTTCAGTCACTACCTCGTCTTTCTTATCCGGAGCAGATAATTCCAGAGGTTTAGCCAACTCTTCTCCTGAACTCACAAGATGAGAGGACGGTGGTTCTTTGTCTGTATCCGTCCCGGACGGAGTATACATAGCATCTAGTTCAAAATTATTTATTATTTCACTCCATTAAAAGTAGAACGGAAAAGAATTTTTTTAACGATTATTCAGATCTGAGTCAAGGTACAATCAATCACAAATAAAAAGCTTTGATAAAGATTTCATCCCTAGCTTGCTGGATCAAAATAAAAAAGTTCTTTAAAAATTGGGAAAAATCTTAGTTAAAAATGAATGAAACGCAGTGAGTTTAAAACAAGTATAGTCGAAAAGGAGAAAAATAATCAAACCATGAGATTGCTCCTTGAAGAGATTACCTAAAGCTTTTAAATCCTTTTTATCCAGGAATAGTTCTAGATCTGTTTCTCCGTCTTCATCCAGGATTCCAGATTCAACCTCATACCTGATACCACAAAATAAAATCTGTTGGGTTTGGCTTCCTGGATCCGGATTGTTGGAATATTTTATTTGTTCAATATATCTTGAAGTTTACGAAGATTTTACCGTGACATATTTAAAAAAGTGTTTCTTTAAGAATTATAGTTTTTCAGACATAGCATAATTTTTATTTGTATTTGAGTAAATATTGAGGAGTTTACCTTTGTTTTCTTGGAGCATTATTTTCTTTATTTTTTCCGAGATTAAAGGCCGGAAAATTGATGGATCCATCCAGTGAATCAGCTACAGACATATTGGCGAAAGTCTCCGGTGGTAGGAGTCCTGATAATACAACTTGTTATTTAGACTAGAGAAAGTACTCGCGAAAACTCAATATTTACAACAGAATCTTGTAACTTGAAATCGAAGTTTCCATTGTCGTTACATAAGTGTTGTTAAACATTTTGGTTCGTTTTTGAAAACTCACTTTCAAGATTTCGAAACCTGTCAAGTTACAGTTTGTTTTTAGTAAAAAATTGAAGAATAAAACCAAACGTTATGACACGTTCATTTTTGGATAGTTTTTATTCGTTTATTGCCTATATCCAGGGGTGTATTCAGGAATTTGTACAGGGGGGGGGGCAATGCATAGATGCTTTTCTTTCCAGGGGGGCTCTGCACCCGTTGGGATTTCACTGGTCCAGGGGCTTAGCCCCAATAGCCCCCCGCCCCTGAATACACCTCTGCCTTTATCTTCTATCAGGGTCAAAATTTTGCGTTATATAAGAAAAACTAATGTTTAGAATAAACACTATCTTTTCTTACACTAGGAAATATTTGGAAATAAACAAATTTAGGCGAAAAATAAACATATTGCACATCACTACGTTACAAAAGAAATCTACTTTATGCGCGGGATCAACATATATACAGATTAATGGTTTCTGAAGGAACTAGAACTATATTTTGTACCTAACGAGGATCTGGCAGGACTAACTGATCCATTATTATTATCTCCTGGACTCTGTCTAGCTCCAACACGAGGGTACTCGATATTCTAGTATATAAATACAATGACATTACATCAATTTAAACCAAATAAAATAAACCCATAAAACCATCATACGATGAAAACATCATACGATGAAACCATCATACGATGAAACCATCATACCATGAAACCATCATACCATGAAACCATCATACGATGAAACCATCAAACCATGAAACCATCATACGATGAAACACTAAACCATAAAACCATAAAACCATTAAAGTGTGTAATGGTGAATTCAAAAAATTTCTTCCTCTTTAAAAACATTTTTGATCTCTTGAACTAGGCGTTTGATTGACCTTTCTTAAGTCACAGATTTTCGTCTTTCTAAAATCTTTTTTATGTTAATTCTGGGATCCATAAACACAAGGAATTAAGATTAATTCCTGAGCAGAATGCAGAAAATAGCTTATCAAGTATAGGTATTTACCAGTGATAAGTCCTTGAGTACAGACGAGAAATCCTGGATATTCTTGAATAAGTTCTCCGTCGAAGTCTCCCCTCCCGACATCGTTCTCTCGGCACAGAACGGTTTAGCAACTAATAAATTAACAAAAATAAATTAAAAATATCATTCTTAGGTTAATGAAGCCATTTAATCAACACTTAAAACTTAAAAAATTATATTAATTCGGAGTTTCTCTAACAAAATGACGGACTGATTTCTGCTGCAGAGACAATAGAGGACAATGTCAAAAAAGAAAACACTTTCCAAGCCAGAAAATCTACGATATTATCCACATTATGGATTTGTTTAAAGTTTAAAGTAAAGGATACCATTGACATGCCACTCTAGAAATTACAACAACAATACCATTTATATTTAGTTTAAAATGTTTAAACCTGTAGAGTCGGCTATAGGAGTTATGTTTGGAGTAAAGACACAATCATCACTCATTTTCACACATTTTTCTGAAACAATTAATAACGTTCATTTTCATGTTTTTTTTTCACAAGTGATCTTGTTTATGTTGCATTTTAGTCACATTTGTTAATGCCTTTCATCTTAAAACTACAATGGTCAATGTGTACACTAGTGTACAGTGTACTGGATTAGATAGAAATAATGACGCCATTTTAAGATTTAAGTAGTTTTAAGAAATACGCTATTTAGATAATTTTAAATTATCTGTAGGCTGAAGAGGTTGAATGCATCAAGAACGGTCTTAGTACTGATTACATAGAGAAAATTGTAAGAGAAAATATTTCAAGTATGATCTATGAACCGTGTTTTTACATCAATTGAGCACAAAAATTTAAAACGTAGGTTCAAGTAACGAAACAGATAGGCAAACTGTGAGTACTCTTAGTCCTTCATGATTCGTTTTATCGGAGAAGATTTCTTCTTCGGAGATAAAACCCAGTTTCTTCCAACAGGACAGATATCTCTAGAATAATAAAATCATTTCAAGAAAGAATAAAAATATCAGTAATTTCTGACCGTAGGGGTAGTACCCCTTTACTCAAATGGGCGATTAAAAATAATATTTTTTAAATACCAAAATCACGAAACCTCGACCATCCCCATAGTAAAGGCCTTACCCACCTTTAAAGATAACCTGGGCAAGATTGTAATTGAATAAGAAAGACTAATCCTAAAGTAATGACTTTGAGAGTCCTAAAAATTTTAGCAAACTAAGTGTTTAATAGCCGCAGCTCTCGGCCCAGATTTAATCCTATTCTAACCTAACCCACGATATAGATAACATAAGCAGATTGTCGTTGTATAGCAAGCAGTTAAATGTGAATAAAAAGGGTGCTTGTCTGTTAAATGTTTCGTGGTTTTACTTAATATATATAAATGGAATGGCTAGTGTTTATTGGAACATGATAGATAGATGGAACTGATCACGTGACCGAATGGTTGGATTTGAGAGTTAGGGCGTTCCACTACCCCGCTATAACGATTGACCCAAAATATCAAATAACTAAAGAAAAAAAATTAATTTTTGGATGAAAACACCTACTTCTGTATCCAATATGTGAAATGTTACAAATATGAAATTTTAATATTTTCTGGTGATTTTTCAGATTTCTGACACTTCCTCCCTAATACCTGTTCAGACAATCTCCACATTTCGGTCCGACGGGAACACAGATCTGCTGACCAAACCCAACCAGTAGCCAGTTTATCTCAATCCATCTATACAAACTCAACCAGTAGCCAGTTTATCTCAATACATCTATACAAACCCAACCAATTAGCAGTTAATCTCAATCCATCTATACAAACTTAACCAGTAACCAGTTAATCTCAATCCATCTATACAAACCAACCAGTAGCCAATTAATCTCAATCTATCTATACAAACCCAACCAGTAGCCAGTTAATCTCAATCCATCTATACAAACCCAACCAGTAGCCAGTTAATCTCAATCCATCTATACAAACCCAACCAGTAGCCAGTTAATCTCAATCCATCTATACAAACCCAACCAATTAGCAGTTAATCTCAATCCATCTATACAAAACCAACCAGTAGCCAGTTTATCTCAATCCATCTATACAAACTCAACCAGTAGCCAGTTAATCTCAATCTATCTATACAAACCCCACCAGTAGCCAGTTTATCTCAATCCATCTATACAAACTCAACCAGTAGCCAGTTAATCTTAAACCATCTATACAAACTCAACCAGTAGCCAGTTAATCTCAATCTATCTATACAAACCAACCAGTAGCCAGTTAATCTCAATCCATCTATACAAACCAAACCAGTAGCCAGTTAATCTCAATCCATCTATACAAACCCAACCAGTAGCTAGTTAATCTCAATCTATCTATACAAACCAAACTAGTAGCCAGTTAATCTTAATCCATCTATACAAACCAACCAGTAGCCAGTTAATCTCGATCAGTCAAAACAAACCCAACTAGTAGCCAGTTAATCTAAATCCATCTATACAAACCTAACCAGTAACTAGTTAATCTCAATCCATCTAAACAAGCCCAACCAGTAGCCAGTTAATCTCCATCTATACAAACCCAACAATTATCCAGTTAATCTCCATCTTTCTATACAACCCCAACCAGTAACAAGTTAATCTCAATCAGTCAAAACAAACCCAACCAGTAACCAGGTAATCTCAATCTATCTTTACAACCCAACCAGTAACCAGTTAATCTTAATCCATCTATACAAACCTAACCAGTAACTAGTTAATTTCAAGCCATCTGTACAAACCCAACCAGTAGCAAGTTAGTCTCAATCAGTCAAAACAAACCCAACCAGTAACCAGGTAATCTCAATCTATCTATACAACCCAACCAGTAACCAGTTAATCTCAATCCATCTATACAAACCTAACCTGTAACTAGTTAATTTCAAGCCATCTGTACAGACCCAACCAGTAACTAGTTAATATCAATCCATCTAAACAAGTCCAACCAGTAGCCAGTTAATCTCCATCTATACAAACCCAAACAGTAGAAAGTTAATCTCAATCTATCTATACAACTCCAACCAGTAGCCAGTTAATCTCAATCCATCTAAACAAACCCACCCAGTAACCAGTTAATCTCAATCTATCTAAACAAACAACTAGTAGACAGTGAATATCCATTTATCTATACAAACCCAACCAGTAACCAGTTAATCTCAATCTATCTATACAAACCCAACCAGTAGCCAGTTAACCTCAATACATCTATACAAACCCAACTAGTAGCCAGTTAATCTCAATCCATCTATACAAACCGAACCAGTAGCCAGTTAATCTCAATCCATCTATACAAACCCAACCAGTAGCAAGTTAATCTCAATCCATCTATACAAACCTAACCAGTAGCTAGTTAATCTCCATCTATACAAACCCAACCAGTAGCCAGTTTATCTAAATCCATCAATTCAAACCCAACCAGTAGCCAATTAATCTCAATCCATCTATACAAACCCAACCAGTAGCCAGTTAATATCAATCCATCAATACAACCCTAACCAGTAGCCAGTTAATCTCAATCCATCAATACAAACCCAACAATTATCCAGTTAATATCCATCTATCTCTACAAACCAACCAGTAACCAGTTAATCTCAATCTATCTATACAAACCAACCAGTAACCAGTTAATCTCAATCTATCTATACAAACCAACCAGTTGCCAGTTAATATCCATTTATCTATTCTAACCCAACAATTGCCAGTTAATATCCATTTATCTATTCTAACCCAACAATTATCCAGTTAAGCTTTTCACACACCATAACATTATAATCAATGAATGAACCTACTAGCTAGTTAACTTAAATATGTAATTTTAAGAAACAAATTAAAATCTTTTAATCATCTGACCCAAACCAGACTGGAAAATAATTTAAATTTATTCCATTAAGTTTTTAAAATAAAACTACTATTTGTCCGTTCATTCAATCATTAAATTGATCAATTACAACATCGTTTTGGTTTGATGTCTAATAATCAACCTGCTTTGAGGTAGCCAGGATTCAAGCGCTTTTCTGGTAGCTTCAGGATTTGAACATTCTTTCTCAGTCCATCCCAATCTGCCAGCAATCCTAATCAACTATTTTGCTAGTTTTCTAAAGTACACTTGTTCATAAAATAATGACCAAGTTGGCTGTTGGCTAAAACACACATTGAAGACTAAATTGAAAAACCGCTTGAATACCAACTTTTAATACTGAATTATGCTGAACTAAAAACAAGATTTAAAACTATAAGTGCAGGCTATATCGGACAACTTTTAAGATCAACGTTAAAAATGTTTTCTCAATGATACACATCATCCAGACAGAACAAACACTAGGCTGAGAGAATATCAGAAATATGAAGACGACGAGTTAAAATATTTTTATGATCAAAATCTTGTGAAAAGATCATCCTAGTACATTTTTCTCTCCCTAAGATTCAAAATTCAAAATATCATATCTAACATAAACCACATATCTATTTATTATCACCTTACAATGGTCAGTTGGCAGTTATATCATTACAATAAAGACGAACTTTCTAACAAGTTTTTTTTTCAAATCACCAGTTTACAAGTAAATAAATAGAAGATGTTGATTGAAAGCTTTTCTTTGCTTCCATGTTTATGTATATCAACTATCCATGCTATTTGAAAGCCTTGTGGAATTTAAAAATTTAAATCAAAAGTATTCTTGATTGTATTGATATATACGACGACGACTGTAGTACCTGTGAACATGGGTGTCCACCCCAATTCCAGTTGGTTTTCCCCAGGCAACATTCATACAAATATAGGCCATCTTTGGTCCAACTCCCTCAACAATAAAAATTAAATCTCACAAATAATATGGTTACTTATTTATATTTATATTTATTCAATACAAATCTGAAATATTTCACTATGGGTTTAAAACTTCACTACCTTAAGAGAGCAAAGATCTTCAACAGTGTCAGGAATGTCTGAGTTATATTTCTCCAACAAAACCTTGGAGGTTTCTTTAATATAGGCAACCTTCCTCTTCCAGAAACCAACAGGGTAGATCAACTCACCAAGTTTTTCATCCGATGTGTCTGAAACGCATTGTAATTGAAATTACTTGGGAGGTCTACATATATTATGATATTATAAAAATAACTTCACACAGAAATGCTAATTTTTTTTAACTTCCAGAAAGTACTGATCTTCAGTATCTGAAATTTATTTTGGACCCTTAAGCTTTAAAGTAAGGTTTTCCAGTTAAGACAAATAAGACATTTTTGACAGACCATTAATTTTTCAACCTACCAAGAATATTCTGTACAGTCAGTCCATGCGCTCTTAGCTTTGTCATTGCAGCAAAGTTTATTTCATCCTTGGTCTGACTGGATAGCATTAAACTGACCAGGCATTGAAATCTCTGAACTGCAGGTGGTGCAGTGCTGTCATGGGACCTGTAATTAATTCAAATTCAAATCATTGTCAATAAAAACACAGGAAAAATGTATACCGACTGTTTTATACCCATTTGAAAAAGGCAGTGCTTAGGATCCAGATCCGGATGATCCGCAAGATTTTGGCTTCCTGATCCAAGGGAAAGAATATCAACCAAAAACTGCAAAAAAACCTTTATTATTCCTAAAACCCAAATCTGGACTTTAGAAAAAAGAGAGATTATAAAAATTTCCTCATTTCTGAATGGTTCATCAAGTTAAGATAAAAATAAGCAAAAAAATTAAACAAAAAATTTGAAAATTACTTTTTTGTTAAAAAAAATCAGTAAATGACCTGGATTAAATTAAATGGATCCTAAGCACCGGAAAAAGGACAACATTTAGAACAATGTTTTGTATTTGGTACCTTTCACAGCCCATTGTATCAACAGGGGCAGATCTATTCTCTCTCATTTTTAATATATTGTCATAAACCTTGAGAAAGAATTAGTAGTCAAAAATATATTTTTTTTTAAAATTATAAACTATCTCTACCTGCTCCCAATTGGTTGGTTCCCAAGATCCACCCTAAAAAAAATCTGTGAAAAAATTTGTAATTTGTGATTTTTTCTTGTTCAAATCTAACCTGAATATTTTCAAGAACTGGTTTTATATGTATTCTCTTTCCACTCATCTTGAAATAAGGTGAAGTTAAACTATTCATTGAGATGCATCTGAAAAATCCAACTTTAAAAAATAATATTTTAATAAAGATAATATTAAAAACACTTTCATTGATCAAGGTCAAGTTTTCGCTTTGAACCCTTTGTGAAAGAAAAGTTTCCACAGAAAGTTTCACCGTAAAACATTATTTTCTGCATAACATTGGCCTTGATCTCCAGAGCATTTCCATCTGACAGAGCCTTCGATGTATCTTCGTGAATATAGACAGTCTCTGCCAGGGGAGATCTGCCAATAGTGTTTTCCTTGTTCATTACTTCCAATCTGAGCTGATATCTCCTAAAACTATCCTCACTAAGAAGTTTCACAAGAAATACAGCTCCATCATCACCTAGGTTTTCACTACATAAGAAAAGCTTATCTGATATATTAGCAATTTCTACGACACAGGGGATAAAATCACAAAAATATGTTGCATTGTTTATTTCTATTGAGTAGGGTTCCCCCAGAACCACAGGTGTATCACTTACTTGTTGAACACAGCAGGTCTCAAGATGTTTATAAATAGTTTCCAGAGAAACCATTATTAAACAGCCTTTGCCAGGACATTTTATATTCTCAGTAAACCTGCATATCTTCTCATGTTCGGAGATATCCCTTTTTAGAACATAAACATTGCAGCCTTTATCCTTGTTCATACACTCAACTTCAAACAGTTCTGTGATGCTTAGTGCAAGAGGAGAGAATCTTATGTCTCTGCAAGAAACTGAACAGATTGGACATGTTGGAGTAGATCCTCTGAAACACAATATTTAGTATGCCGGTTACGAAAAGACTAAAATCTTTACCTTATGCATTCCAAACAGGTTGTATGACCATTCTCACAAACTGGTATTTTCTTGCTTTTGGGTATACTTAGACAAATTGGACAAAGGATTTCCTCAGTCAACCTCTTTTTGATGTTCTCTAGTTCTTTAATCTTACTTATATTCTTGTTCTCGTCCAATTTTTCCTCAAGAATCTTGATCTGTTCCTTTAACTTTAAGTTTTCTTTCTCTACCTCACTGATCCGAAGTATGGGGACACCAGCTGTACTGGAACCTGTGAATAACAAACTTATTTTGTTTCTCAATATGAAAATTAAAAAAGCAAACATTTTACCTATACCAAAAAGATTTATTTCAGAAGTTGCTGCAACCTTAGATATATTACTGGAATCCTCCATTTTTTTCCAGAAGTCTGAAAAAATGGTTTAAAAGCTACATAAAAAATTATATTGCTGATAGAAAGAAACAAATATTTATGTTTAAAAACAGTTAAACATACTTTAGATATCAGAATCAAAACGAATTACCATTGCGGAACTTGAACACTGTGAGATATAAAAAGCATCAATTTTTCTTTAACAATCTTCATCATAAATAAACTTCAAACAAAATCCTCACTTGAACTATGTGGTTAAAAAATGATTTGAAGATCAAATCATAGATAAGGATTTTAGACATACAACACCAATTAAACTATTTCAACTAACTAAAATATTAAGAAACTTTGTGGGTAATACAACAAAAGCCCAAATGATTTCATAATTACTTCAATTTTAAGTAAAATGACTGCAAATACAAATTTGTTAAGGACAAAATATCTTTTTTCTCCTTAACTAGACTAGTGTTAAATATTCTAAGTGGAAAACTTTACCAAAACTTTCTTTTAAAGAATAATTTCATCTAGATCCTGATCTAGAATATCCACTTTCTTCTCTTTAATCTTGTCAACTTGTCTTTCTTCTTCTTGGTCCACATTTACCCCATCATCTTCCCTGGAATCTGCAGAACATTTCCTTTCTAGATTAATATTTAACTTACTTTAATATTTTGTTCAAATAGCATTAACAAGAATTAAAATTTTAAACATTCAATTGTATCTATGTATACTATTACCTTTACTCCATTCTCATAACTCTCCTTTATGGTTAAAGTATTCCCCAAGAATGACTTGGAAATGGTTTCGTCCAGGTCAGATATTTCAATCTTGACAGAGTATTCTTTATTTATGTCAGTGGAAAGCAAACGCATAAATACTAGTGAGGAACTAGATGCTTTATCTTCCACAGATACAAGATACAGCAGATCTTCAGAATCCTTGAGTTTAAACACAAGAGTACCAAAGTAGGCAACCTCTTCTTCAAAGCACTTAGTAAACACCTTAGATATCTGTTTACCCAATGTAAGACTTTCCATAGAAATCTTAACTTGCTTGCAGGCCAAGACATTGCTTCCAATGCTATGGCAAGACACAAGAGTTTTACATATTGGAGCTGGACAAAGAATATTCTTTTGATAATTGCAACCTTTCCCATGAATCTGAATGGCATTCTTCTTTGCAGTAACTTTGCAGCCTTCCCCTGAGAAGTTACACTCAAATTCAAGCAACTCTGTAATTCTCAAAGCCAATGGAGAAAACATTATGTTGTCCTCTGGACAGATATCTTCATCATCTTCACTGTTATTTTCACCATCTTCATTATCATAGTCATCTTTGGTCATGGTTTTCATTCAACTGTGACAAGACACACATCTTTTCCTGTACACAGAGAAGTTTTATGAGTGTAGAATTAGTAGTTAAAAAAATATTTTGTAAAAAAAACAGAGTTGAAGCATTCAGCCCGGGCATCAGACATTGTACAAACGTGAATTGGTGTCAATAGAAAGGCTGGTATTGTCGTAATTAACTTTAAGTTTGATGTGATAATTATGTCGAAAATAGATTATTATGTTCACACTACACATCTACTGAATTTACCATTTCTGTTAACCAACCATTTTGAAAATAGAGTGTCGAAAAACACAATTCAATTCAAAATATCTCTGCTCTGGAAGCTTTTGTGAAAAAATCAAAAATAATTAAAATAATTAAAAATCCAAGTTCAGTATTTAAGGATACAAAGAAAACTTTTACCTTAAACAGTCTTCACATGAAACATGGCCATTCTTGTAAATAGGAATTCTCAAACTTTGGGGAACCTTAAAACAAACAGTGCAAAGAACAGCTTCCTTCAATTTCTTCTTAATATTCTCAATCTCATCTGTTAGCTTACGCTTATCTGCTTGATGTAGCTGAATCATTTCTTGATTAAGAGTAGCCATGCTGCCCATTTGCTTTCTTGTGTCATTTGACTTTTAACCACTGCATCCTAAAATAACACTTAATTTGAAAAATGTTGCTGTAAAGGAATTGAGTATTTGTCACAAACTCAAATTATCTAATCCCTGTATTTTTGCATTCTGATGGTCTAAACATTTGATATTTCGACATAAGAATTCAGTTTGAAAAATCAAACCACATTGGGGTTTAAAGATTTAGGGATAAGAAATTCAGAGTTAGTGGCAAAGACTCAATTCCTTTCTTTGACACAAGTATTAAGATATTATTCTAGGTATTAGACATATTAATAGCAATTTTCTGATTTAACGTAAAAAAAAGTTAAATTCTTTCTTCTTGCCTTGCTACTTCCCTGTGGCAATTATATCTACCTGAAAAATTGTCATACAAACCAAAAAAATGTGTTGGGAATTGTGAATTGCAAAATAAGTGCAGTATTTATAGCATTTTTTGTGTACGATGTATAAATTACCATCATTTTCGCCAGACAATTCTATCTCAAGGCTCGCAGTCAATGAATTGTTCACTGGAATTGACATGTTCTCTGAAAATAAAAATATTCTTTAATTTTCTTAAACTTGCTTTATAAGAATTAAAAAATATATAAAACATCTATTATTTTGGAAAATTAATTTTCTCTAGGTGCTTTTACAATAATGATACTAACATTTAAATGTTCAGAAATTCTATAAATCTTTCAATTTGCCGAGTATGGTAAAAAAATACGCAAAACCTAACATGAAAAGTTACAATATAATGAATGATTTATAATCTTTACACATTCTAGAGAATAATCTCCTCAAAATCATTGTCTTCGTCAATCTCCACTTTCTGCTTCTCCTTGACCTTGTCCACTGTGATGTTGATCTTGTAGCTGAACTTGTCCTTATTCTTCTTGGTCCACATCTTACCCATCATCTTCCCAGGTATTTCAAGAACATTTCCTTCCTAAAGATGAATGTCAGCTATCAAAATTGAATTTTGGATGATTGTTCTTCTTAAGATTAATGTTAAAACAAGTATTGTTTATTTACTAGAATTGACACCATGAAAAATTTCAGGAGGCCAAAAGACAGACTCCTGAAAATACCAACTCCTAACAGCACTCTCTCCTGAAATCCCCCCTGACTGAGCTTGGCTCCCTAGCATAGTCAAGCAGCAGCATCCAAGCCCTCCAATTAAAAAATATCTAAATACTTTAGTTAACAAATTTGCCGATTTTTGATCATTCCGCAGTTAAGGAATTTAGTAAATTTTACTTTTCCACAGTTTGTCATGACACCCAAAATCCTTGAAGTCAAAGAAACTGAAGTTTTCAGATATTTAATACTTTCTCAAGGAAACATTTCAATTTTCCAAATACTGTTAGGTACAGAATTATCATACACACACCTAGAGAATCCCAAGTTTGTCTAAAACTAGCCTATCTGACCTTTAAGTGACTAAATAGTTACTACGCATAAGAAATTGCCATAGAAGAAAAAGTCATTTTTGATTGGTTTCATATGCTATAAAACTCTACCTTTACTCCGCTGTCATATCCGTTCTTCATGGATAAAGTATTCCCCAAGAATGACTTGGAGATAGTTTCGTCCAGGTCAGATATTTCAATCTTGACAGAGTACTCTTTATTCATGCCACTGGATAGTAAACGCATGAATACTAGTGAGGAACTAGATGCTTTATCTTCCACAGATACAAGATACAGCAGATCTTCAGAATCCTTGAGTTTAAACACAAGAGTACCAAAGTAGGCAACCTCTTCTTCAAAGCACTTGGTGAACTTTTTCGAGATCTGCTTACCTAAAGAGAGTTGAGTTTCCTCAGAAATCTTAACATGCTCACAGGTTAGAACATGGTTACCAATGCTGTGACGAGACACAAGACCTTTACATTTAGGTGCAGGACATGGAATATTCTTGTGATAGTCACAGCCTTCCTCATGAACCTCAATATCTCCCTTCTTTAGAGTCACCTTGCAACCTTCATCAGCATAGATGCAGTTATAATCAAGCAACTCCGTGATGTTCAAGGACAAAGGGGAAAACATTTTCCTGGGGATCTTGTCAGTTTGAGTCATGGTATTCATTGGGCTTCTACAGGTTGGACAAGTATCCCTAAAATCAAAGAATTAAAAATTTCTTAAAAAAATTCTGTGATACAAAAGAATATAAATGGACAAAATCTTACCTATAACAGCTTTCACATGTTATATGACCATTCCTACAAATAGGAATCTGTTCACTTCGAGGGATCTTGAGACAAACCGGACAAAGAATGGCTTCTTTCAGTTTCTTCTTTATGTTCTCAATCTCATGAGTAAGCTTACGCTTCTCAGCTTGATAAAGCATCATTTTTCTACTTTCTTCATGATCAGGGGAAGTATGGGTGTTCCATTGTTTAGACAGTTCCATTTCATTGATTTTCTGACTTCCACTTGATTCTAAAAAGTACAATACAGATAAACCTTGTTTTTTTTAATCAAATTACAGCATCAGAGTTTTCTTTTTCTTTTATCATAATGCCAATTACCATACCATCATTTTGAGTGGATAATGAAGTCTCAAGAACTTGAGTCAATGCATCTTCCAGTGGGATTGGCATGTTCTCTGAAAACAATAATAATAATTTTCCAAAAACTTAACATGCCTAATTATGAAACTTCAAGATAAATTAAGAAGGTAAAAAATGAAATTTCCAATATTTGGTTTAATTCAGGACCAAATAATTGTCACCTTTCTCTAGGTGAGTCTCATTTTACAAAAAATACAAAACTGGACATACATTAACACTGTCACATACATCATACAGGAATTTTCGGTTTCTAATTTACAAAACTATGATAAGAGATCAAAGGCCAAAAAACTAGATTTTAATGGATGATATTTGATCCATTCAATCCTAACCACTTCCTACTAAAGAATCTTCTAAAGATCTTCATCATCAATCTCCACTTTCTGCTTTTCCTTGACTTTGTCTACTGTGATGTTGATCTTGTAGCTGAACTTATCCTTATTCTTCTTNTCCACTCTCTTCGTTCAGCATTCTCCCACCACTCCCTTCGTTTAGCATCCTATCTCCACTTTCTTCTTGAACCCAGTCTCCTCTTTCTTCTTGTAGAAAGTCTCCAATCTCTTCTTGAAACATCTCTTCTCTTATCTTTTCTTGTTCAGGGGAAGCTAAATTTACTGTTGGAACAAGTACTGGGTTTGTACTGCTTTTTTGATTCAGATTTGAGAATAAATCACTGGATCCTGGAAGATGATATGAAGAAATTATTTTCAACAAATTCCAAATAAAAAGTTGAAAATTTTTGTCGGCTTAGTACAAAGATGACTAATTTGCAGTTTGTTTCCGACCAAGTGAATGGTTTAATTTCAGAATTTTTGTAGTTTCGTGGAGCGTAAGTTTTCAGTAAACAAACTTACAAAAATATATTCAGCAACCAAAATTTCATGATTGGGTTAAGACTGGTGTTCTCCTTGCAATTGTTAAGTGCCTGATTCTAACCATGAAGGACACATAGTGCATACGACGACGAACGGACTGCGAGTTGACATTTAAAAATATCTCTGGTTCAGAAATAAGGAAATAATAAGCAAAGAAAGGAAATTAGTACTTTTGAATTAATTAATAAAAATTCCAGATTTTATTTTTATTACCTTTATTCTTATTAGTAGAGCCTAAACTAAGAATTGCTCCCATGGAAAAGACATTTCCTCTGAAATAAGTCATCATACTTATTTAGGCGGAGATATTAATAAAAATAAACTAACATTTTATGTTTAGAATTCTTAATTCAACAAAAAAAATGATTTTACAGATGATAAAATTAATAACAGACTAAAACTAAAGTTGGAAATAACGTTAGATAAAAAAAAAATATTGACTTGCTTGTAAACACATTAGTTCATGAATATTATAAATTTTCACATAATAGTCCAATTAAAAAGATATTATTTTTCTGTGGTATTACTTAGTACATTCAAATTCAACATAATAAAGGACTATAAGTACTAAATACTCGAGTGTGATAACCCAAAGATTGAAACTTTCGGATGGGATACAGGGGTGAATATTTTTTACGCACTTCCAAATCCTTCTTTTTCATACTGTTTACTCAAATTTAGATTATTTTTCCCTAAAAATCATTTATTTTCCAAATTCTGCAAAAAAAAAACATTATTTTCAAAAGAGGAAAGACAAGCTTTTACAGGAAAAATTTACACCAATTTTGGGATATTACGTAGATGAAAAGATTAAAATAGATATCCAATATGGAGAATTATAAATTTAAGAAATTAAATAATTGAACCTCTATATTAAATAGAAATATGTTTCAACGCGTTAAGAGTAACTTATTACGGATAAATGAATTCTAAAGGAACATATCAAAATTCCGGGTTCAGAATTTTTTACAAATCTAAGATTAGTATTTGAAAACTCTGTACCAGGATTCACACTATTCATCAGCATCCTCAAACTAAAGGTAGACCAAGATTAGATCAAATATTTATTAATATTTTAATTAAAATAGAACTTTGATTAAGTTTTTTTTAAAGATTAAAAGATTCTGAAGTGTTAGCTTATAATTAAATAAAATAGGTCTTAAAAACAGCTTAAACAATTTTCATGTCTTTAAGAACTTCACCTGATCAGATTTTAAATCAAGTTTATCGACCTTTTCAGCTACCCCTCTACCACTTAACATATCACAGATATTTAATTCTAGGGTTTAAAGGGGAAAACATGTTCATTACCCCACTCCAACCAAGGGTAATCAAGGTTTACATTAATATCAAGGCAAATACGAACATTTTAACGACAAAATATCAACTTTCTTCACGGATTTCAAAGTGACCCTTTATTTTAGAATGCCTTGATTTACAAAGGTACCTTTTAAACAAAAAATAATGAGATATCCTTATGTTAAATATTTAAGGAAATTATCTTTAATAGGAATGTAGACGTAATTTCAAGTGACCCTCCATTTGTTTAGTGGCATGTTCATTACACAGGGTGTGAAGAAAGTAATGCATCAGTGAAAATAATGTTCTAGATGAGTCAAAAATTTATTTTATTAAATGATGACCCCGACCATTATAGTCATCTTTTACTCGGTATGACATTGATAAGACCAGGGTCTCCAGGCTGATGTTTCTCCAGAATCTCTTCAGTAGCGTTCCCAATTGAGCAATATTCTAAGGCTGATTCTTTTCCGACTTCACCTCCTCCTCCAGTTTAAACAACAGATTTTCGATTGGATTGAGGTCCGGAGAGTTAGGAGGCCATTCCTCCTTCCCCCAAAAGTTAAACTGTTGGTCCTGGAGCCACTGCAAGACGTAGCAACTCCATCCTGCACAAGTGTCATTTTTGACTTTATTTTTGGACACTTTCTTTGAGTGAGTGCGTTGTCAAAGTGAAAACAACAATTATGTATGTGTTTGTTTACATTATCCGGCTTAGTAAGAGCAGATAAAAAATAATTCATCAATTATTTGTTGATCGCACTTTTTTCACCAATTTAGCGCCAAAACAGTCTGATGCATTACTTTCTTTACACCATATATAATTCTATCATTAAACACTTTGTTTGTTTGATCCAAGATGTATGTCAATTTATGCCCCTGCTGGCCGCCAGGGGGTTATGAATTCTTGTACCCGAGCATGCCGGTACAGCTGACTCACGCCGGGGTTTCCTCCTCGTCGGACAGGTAGCTTTTCTTCAGCCGTTACTTTCAATCGTAGTTTCTCTTCCTAACTGATGGTTAAAAGGTCACTTGAAATTAAGTCTACAATCCCTCTTAGAAAAACATACCCTGCGGCGGTTAGGACAGTCGGAAAACTTTCTTAGGAATTAAGTATCTTGGGAAATGAAACCGGTTGATTGAATATTTGGATTTTAAAAGTAAATGTTACCTTCTAGGTTTGATATACGAAAGTTTATGCGAGTCTCCAGGGCAATATAAGGATTTGACATTTACTTCGGGAAAGAATGAATACCTCCTGAAGAAGTAAAACATTTTACCACAAAAAGGAAAATTTCAAGATTTTTTATCTTAAGTATAACAATTACACCCAAACAACTCAAACCACAGAAAATGAATTTTTTTTCGAAGCATATTGGAAAACATTTGAAAATTGTACTAAGAATTACAAGCTTATAAACATATAGTTTAGATTTCATGAACGTAAAATTTAGCATAATGGTTCTATATCATTAAAATTGATCATTAATATTTTTAAAGTGAATATTCACGAAGGAAGTCATTAATCTTGTGGAAAATGTATGACAACCAACTTTACACTTACTTTTGCTTATAATTGTTCCCTAAACGTTTAGGTTGGAACTCATCCCAGTCTTCTTCATCAGATGTTATCTCAACAACTCCCTCACTTGGAGGCGCTGGATCCTTAAACAATAACATTATAAAATAGAGTTGTTTAATGATTACATAAGATTCTTGAAACCTCTGGAAAATATACAGCAACCTTTTGGTGCTTGGACACCAACCAGAATCCATAATATGTAAATCTTTGAAATCGGATCAAAGTGACATGTGATTAAGATCAAAGTGGCACGGGATTAAGATAAAAGTGGCACGGGATTAAGATCAAAGTGGCAAAGGATTAAGATCAAAGTGGCACGGAAATAAGATCAAAGTGACATGTGATTAAGAACAAAGTGGCAAGGGATTAAGATCAAAGTGGCACGGGAGTAAGATCAAAGTGGCACGGGATTAAGATCAAAGTGGCACGGGATTAAGATCAAAGTGGCAAAGGATTAAGATCAAAGTGGCACGGAATTAAGATCAAAGTGACATGTGATTAAGATCAAAGTGGCAAGGGATTAAGATCAAAGTGGCAGAGGTTTAAGATCAAAGTGGCATGGGATTAAGATCAAATTGGCAAGGGATTAAGATCAAAGTGGCAAGAGATTAAGATCAAAGTGGCACGGGAGTAGGATCAAAGTGGCACGGGGATAAGATCAAAGTGGCACGGGAGTAAGATCAAAGTGGCACGGGATAAAGATCACAGTGGCACGGGATCCAAGTCTAAGTGACACAAGATCCAAATCTAAGAGGCACAAGATCCGGATCTTTTTGGTACGAGATCCGACTCCAAGTTACATGGGCTACGGATTCCTAACAAACGTAACGGATAATGTGCATTGTGTAATGCACATTTCCCCGGGGGTTTATGAATATAAAACCAATCATGATAAATATTATCTTAAAACTAAACATTACAACAAGAATCTGAACGTTTATTAGTATATGTTTGTCCACTATTGAAAAAAAATATCTTACTTGATTGTGATACCAATAATCTTCTTGGTCAGAATCTAAGTTTTCTCTGCTTTCATCACTTAATCCAGTTTCTTTAATTTCTTCTGTCATCTGAACCAGGTTAGCTCTATGCTGGTGCTGGTAGTTTTCCATCCTTCTCAGGGTTCTCTCTAGAGTCTGGTATTTGGATACAAACTCCGAACCCAACTGTTCGTTCAGAGATTTGACAGTTATCTGATTTTCACACAAATCTGCCCAAGATTTAAAATATTTGATTGATAGTCAGGGGGTAAACTTCCTCTTGATAAAAATTATTATTTTCACTGTTTTAAAATTTAGTTTTTCTCTCGCTGAATTGGGGAAGAAGAAATGATTTCTTGGGTATTAAGTATTAACAAGTGGGAAAACCTGACCAAAGGAGCCCAAATTGTTCACCCCCATCCAACCAAATCTTAGAAAATCATTTTCCCACTGGGGGGGAGAGTAAAAAATCAATCATTCTAGTTCTCATCCCTAAGGCTGTAAGGTTTAAGGATAAGAAGGAAGGATGAATCTCAGATATCTTATTGGAGTAAGCATCCAATAACTGGAGGTTGGTCAGGTCTGCAATTTCATCAGGGAAACCATATATACTGTTGAAGGATATATCCAGAATCTTTAAACTTGTCATTTTAGAAATATCTTCAAAATTAACAGTTCTAGATAATATTTTGCAAAAATCTAAAAATCGGACGAGTTACGGGACAGTCCAAAGTTCCAGCATTTAAAGAAAAGAGAAATTGAAAAGATAAATACAATCCTGTTTTTTGAGACGAATATCAAATTAAATTTTTCTTTTTAGTTGAAAATAGAACTGGATTTTCCTGTTGGAAGATTACTAACAAAGTTAGCAGATAGATTGAGGGTTTCCAGTCTAGAAAGATTGACAATATCGTCTGGCAATCCGGAAATAGAATTCTTGGATAGGTCCAGATATCTTAGGTTCCTTATGCTACCTATCCTTGGTGGTAGACACGTCAGGTTAATATTGGAAGCTTCGAGATGAACTAGGCCGATGAGATTAGAAAACTTTTTGGGTAGAGTCCAGATAACATTCTTGTATCCCTTCAGCTGAAGAGAGGGACATGGAGCATCAGGTGGGTTTAGAGAAGATGTATTACTCAGGTGTAGAATCTCCAGGTCTAGAAGAGATGTAAACCCTACAGGGAACTCTTTGATACCACTATTCCGAAGATCAAGCTTCACAACCTTGAAATAATAAGATTTTGTTGAAACTTAATTTATCTGATGAATATGAGTCAAGATCTAAAAGTCTCCCCATTTAGAGCCGAGAGACCCAGATCTCCTACAGAGTTAAAGTAAACTTAATTTCATAATAATGCTTTAGTCAAGTTGATCTTATAGTTGATCTTATAGTTGATCTTATAGTTGATCTTATAGTTGATCTTATAGTTGATCTTATAGTTGATCTTATAGTTGATCTTATAGTTGATCTAATAGGTCAAATCGCAGGGGTAAAAGTAAAACTCTTAAAGTGAAGTTAAATCCCATTCATGCCGGTGTTATCATCTATTGGAGTAATAATTGATTAGACTAACGTTCGTTTGGACGAATGTTCATTTGGACTAAAATCTTAATATTTATTAGGTCAATCGACCTTTAGTCCTATAGATATAGCATCTTCACGTCATCACCTGTCTGCAGAGAAAACCAAACTCATGAGGAATATCTGCCACAATAGATCCGAGATACGAAGAACCAAAACTAAATCAATCAAGATTAAACAATTCTTCACGAAAAAACTCAATAAAATACAACAATATATGATTTAAATAAATTGATATATTTACAGAAAGAATTTATCCTGCATTTACAAAGTATGTCGTTCGTGCATATACAAAGAATGTTATTCCTGCATATACAAAGTATGTTGTTCCTGAATATACTAAGTATGTTGTTCCTGAATATACAAAGTATGTTGTTCCTACTTATACTTAGTATGTTGTTCCTGAATATATAAAGTATGTTGTTCCTGAATATACAAAGTATGTTGTTCCTGAATATACAAAGTATGTTGTTCCTGAATATACAAAGTATTTTGTTCCTGAATATACTTAGTATGTTGTTCCTGAATATGCAAAGTATGTTGTTCAAGAATGTTAAGTTGTCTCCAATCAAATTCCTTTTTAAAAATCGCGATCAACCTCATTTAATAAAAATTACTTCTATCAAAATAAATGAATCACAAGACCGGAATTATCCTTTATTTACCTTAAAACAGAGCATCTCCTCATATAATAGAACCAGGCTGGAAATTCATAAAGATGTTGGAATCCGTTTTCCTCCAATATTAGATGTTTTATTGTTTGATAACTGCAAAACAATTCAGGAAGACACCTAAACATTAAGCATAAACAGCTCTGAATGTAGAATGAAATCTAGTACTTACTTCAGTTAGTTAATTAGTAAAATCTACCAATTTTATGAAAATTTTATGAAAAGATCCCAATACATTCCGGTGGCAAGGAGCGTTGACCCTCATTTCATTGAATGATGGGTTGTTTGCTAATAATAATTAGGATGAAATCATACTAGTTTTAATTTCCATCGACCAGGCAATGTAAGTCCATGGAGAACCCTGTAAACTGTATGCCCACAAAAGATTTAAGTTTGTTGATTGTTGAACACTTTTCTAATCTCAATTAAAAAAAAAACTCGGAATCCAGTATTGATCTGCTCGATATCCCACGATGGTTATACCCTGCTGGGATAACTTTATTTGATGGATCAAGCATTAATCCACAAATTTAAAAGTTCCCACAATGAATATAAAGATTAAACGTTCAAGATTAACATTAGCCACACAAAAGTACCGATCTCAGGAACCTCCAGGTCTTTATAGTTTACTTACAAAAGATTACCGAGTCTGTTTACATTGCTCCCAGAAACTGCAGTATATTTTAAGATAATGGGGTTCCCCTGATATGTCTTTCTTGATCCTAACAAACCTTAACTTGTTCCTGGAGAGGTTTAGTTTTAACAAATTCTTCATCTTACACAGAGACGGAGGAAACTCAACCAGATAGTTTCCACTCAGGTCCAGACTATTCAAGCAGGGTAAATTTATAAAATCTAGTTCTTCTAGGATAGCCGGAGATGATGATAGTTCTTCGTCAGTGTAAATGGAATCATTCTCGTGGCTTGTCTAAATTATTAAATATCAAATCCAATCAACAATATTCTTCAAAGGTAATTAGACGTAATTTTAATTTAATTCTAGAGAGAATCAGTTCCAAGAAAGATACTAAGTTTTTTTTTCATCGTCTCGGACAGTATATATCCGCAGGTCACTTATACAGAAGCATCACAATGGAAAAAATCAATTCATGATTCAACCCTTGACAAGGTACAAATACAGTTTTATATTCAACTTGGGAGCCCAGAGTTGCCCAGGGTACTCATAGTTACTCCCGCCGTTTACCCGCACTTGGTTGATTTTACCGGGAAACCAAATTTTAACTTTGAAAGGCGACCTACTTAACTTAGAACCTTAAAACAAAGCTGAGAACATTCCCGTGGTTCTCCCGAGTTCTCCAATCAAACTCTGAGGCAAATCGGCCAAGGGGGTTCTGAGTTATGATCAGACAAAGAAACTGAGATTACAACTGTATATATAAATATGTGGCCCCATTAATAAGTTTAAAATATCACAAATAAACAAACTTAGCTTCTCTTAGACAGTTGATTAATTAGTTAAAACAAATGAATGACGTGGAGCGTTATCCATAGAGATCTCGGTTAGACAGGAGCACCGGCCCCGATTTTGTTGACTGACGGGTTGTACTTGAATAATAATAATAATAATAGTAATAATAATAACAATAACAATAACAATAACAATAAACTCTAGCAAGAACAAAATAATTGTCAGTCGCGTCGGTACAATAAAGTGGTTAGAAAGGGAGAATAAAATGGTTCCAAATTTAAAAACCACTTAATCGTTTTTATTTAAAACCAGTCGTGACAGTAAAAAGAGGTATCGAAATAATTTCTAAGTCGCTCTTCACCCCGTCTCAAATACAGCAACTTTATCCAATAAGGATTTACCTGCGGTTCCTGTACTCTAGAATAGTCTAGGTTTTCAATCCGGTTATCCCGACCGATTATCTCCTCCAGGTGTTGAAACTTCTCCAGTAGGACGGGAAGAACAGATATTTTGTTATAAGAGAAATTTATAGATTTCAAAGAATGAAACTCAGTGAGTTTATCCGGCAAGCTCACCAGGTTTAGGTTGGACAAATCTTAAAACATCAGCTTTTAGAATAAATTAAAAATAATTTTAAAACTCGGAGAAAACAAAAAATGATTACCTATCACAGTTAAATGTTTAGGGTAAAGATTAAGTTGAGCAATTAAGGTTTTTAGATTTTGTTCACAAGTTTTACTTTCCACGCAGAAATTATCATTTTCTGTTCTTTTATCACTAGTTTCACTGGATATATTTCTAACAGGGATCGAACTGGATTCATTGTCCACCATTTTATTCTGAAAATAAGATCATAATAACTGAATGAATTTCTTTGTTAAAAATTTCCGACCAGTTTGCTCCTCGAAAGAAGATTCACGAAAATAAATCTACTGTTTGGGTCCCCTGTTGAATCCTTTGTTTTTCCGTTTCCTGTTCTCATTCTTCCGAGCGACAGAACTAGTAATTTCGGCATGTTTCCGTCCGCGGGTACCGATAAAGTCCTGAAAATAGTGAAGATAAGAAAAACTAAAAACCAAATACTTTGTAAACTCTGCTCTGGATGGAGTTAAGAATTTTATGGTTTATTTGGATGGTTTCCTGAAGGTTAATCCACAATTTCCCAGTGCAGGGGTATGTATACTCTATAAAAAGTCTAGGAAAGAGAGAAGGGAAGAGGAAGGTTGGGAGAAGAGAAAGGAAGGAAAGGTTCAACGATAAAGAGTAAGGAAGAAAGGGGAAGGTTGCAAGATAAAGATTAAGGAAGGAAATGGGAAAGTTGGGAGATAAAGAGTATGACAGGGAAGGTTGGAAGAAAAAGAGTAAAGAAGGAAAAGGGAAGGTTGGGAGATAAAGTATGAAAGTGAAAAGGAATTTATATTTTTTTTAAATTTAAATATTACAAATGTATCTCTAACCTCCATCCTCTGGCGTGTTGTAGGGTGCAAGGTACGGGTTGGTTTCCAAGAAACAAACCATAGTGCAACCTGAGTCTGGAGATGATATCCTAGATGGAGGAGTGCGTTCACACAGGAGTCAACAGTGCTGTCCTCAATACTCTCCTGAACATTTCAGAGTAATAAATATTCAAATCAAATCCTACTTCCACACGATAATCTTGAGTGAACTCACAACATCAAGGCGCAAATTGTCAAATTCTTTGAAGAATTTTCATAAGAAAATGTTAATTGACAATTCCTAAAGTTCTCTTTGGTCATGTGAGGATACCACAATAATTTTGGGTCCGATCGGTTTAGCTCTTTTGACGTTTATTGGGTACAAACAAACAGAAATGTCAACAAACAATACAAAAATATATTCGGTATGTCTTTTTAGTATGATATATCCAATAAGAGTCACATGAACCCGGGGAAGGTTTAATAATCTATGATGATTTATAAATTACCTGCATTAGAATATCCTTGATCGAATCAAACAATCCTACGAGTTGAGTTCTTCCTTCCGAGGGATATAGTCGAGAAACAAGTCCTATGCTCTCTATCACCCAACGGAGTAGGGTCTAAATATTCAAAGTTAATCCCGTCCTTCAGATGGATCATAAGATATACTTGAGATTAAATTAAAAAATTCTCCGTCCTACTTTAACATAGAATACCATCCCCATAAAAAATTAATTATGTTTAAATGTAAACGGTTAAGGTCATAATGTTATATGCCAAAAACGTACAGATTTAATACTATTGCTGAGGATCCGTACTGTGAAAAAATTGATCCGAATCCATCGTATAATATTTATAATCTAGTTTGTAGCTAAAACTAAAGCAAATTTAACGATTTTTTTCTGTTTTTGCTATAACTTAACTGAATAATAAGAGATCTGAGATGGAATTTAAAGAATTCAAGCCGTGGTTTAAAGCTGCCAAAACCCGGTTTAAATTAAGCGCCGGCATAAATCTTGAAATATTTGATACAATTTTAAGTGGAACCAACCATATTTAAGCCGCGGCTTAAATTTAAACCGCCGCTCAAATTCTTTAAATTCGGCCACAGAAGGGTTTTATAATTTTCTCATTAGTCAATACTTGGGATCCGTGATACAAGAGAAACATGCATTTTTTTAGGTGCACATTTTGGTTGATATTTTAAGCATTGATTTAAACATTAACACTTAAATTATGGAAACTTTGGTGTAACTGGTCCTTGGTGCATTCATATGTCCAAACTTTAGTTTGGTGCCTTCATCGGTCCAAACTTTGTTTCACTGGGTCCTTGGTGCCTTCATCGGTCCAAACTTTGTTTCACTGGGTCCTTGGTGCATTCATCGGTCCAAACTTTGTTTCACTGGGTCCTTGGTGCATTCATCGGTCCAAACTTTATTTTACTGGGTCCTTGGTGCATTCATCGGTCCAAACTTTAGTTTACCTGGTCCTTGGTGCATTCATCTGTCCAAACTTTAGTTTACCTGGTCCTTGGTGCATTCATCTGTCCAAACTTTAGTTTATCTGGTCCTCGGTGCATTCATCTGTCCAAACTTTAGTTTACCTGGTCCTTGGTGCATTCATCTGTCCAAATTTTAGTTTACCTGGTCCTTGGTGCATTCATCTGTCCAAACTTTAGTGAGAAAGTTGATGAGCTGAGATATAACTGTATTATTCACCCAGCGATAATCATGTCCTCGTCCAAGTAAAACTAGGCACTAAAAAAAAAACAATTTATTTTAATTTAATCTCATTCTAAATCTTCATAAAATTTGCATTTTATATCTTTTTAACATCCAATTCTCTAAGACATGAGCATATGCTAATTCAAAAAAAGGATCAGAATCAGAAATTTAAAGAGATATTTGGTAAACACTTAATAATACTTACATATTTAATCGTACTGAGAAGATTTGAATCCTTGACGTTCTTCTCCACAAGTTTAAGATATTTGGAGATCATATCCTTGGATTGGAATTCTGTGGGTTGATACCCATACCTAGAGTAGGATATAACATATTCAAGTCTAGTAACAGCAAGAACAGGAAGAAGAACTACCCCCCGGGGACTGAATTTAATAGATTTTGGAAAGAAAAAAAAAGATAAATAAGAAATCTGGCAAGTTTCCACCATCCTTTTTTATTATAAAATCATTTATCTAACCCTAAAAATCATTTACACTCCCTAATTCAGCCAGTTAAATGTTTAGGGTAAAGATTAAGTTGAGCAATTAAGGTTTTTAGATTTTGTTCATTATACCCTGCTGGGATAACTTTATTTGATGGATCAAGCATTAATCCACAAATTTAAAAGTTCCCACAATGAATATAAAGATTAAACGTTCAAGAACTCCATGCAAACATTTAAGTATGTATCCTAATAATTACGATACGATAATCTTAATAAGGCCAAACTAAACTTTTCAAAAAACTTTGAAATCTTGCTAATATTAAAAATACCTGGACTGAAACACAGATCTTGTTTCTTGAACCTTCATATCAATGTTCGTGGTTACTCCAGTATGAAAGATCGCCCATATTGCAGTCTCCTGCTCTGGGGTAAGTTCACGACTATTCCTTTCAAATAGTTCTAAAAATGAAATTGATGATTTTTTCATCTGTATATTATTATTTAATCATTTTCAAAACCCAAATATTCCATTGTTTTTTAAAACTTCTGTTTATTGTTTAAAATACTAATAATTTGATATTTGATTAGTATAAGAAATACACTTTTGAAGATACTAAATGAATAAGAGAAAAAATATATAAAAGCATGAATGATCGACTTTGTTCCAGTGCTTAGGATCCGGAAGATTTTGGCTTCCTGAATCCGGATCCGCAAAAATATGCGGATCCACGGATCCGCATCCAAGGGGTAAAATATCAACCAAAAACTGCAAAAAAAACAACCTTTTTTACTCCTAAAACCCCAATCTGAGCTTTTGAAAAACGAGAGATTATAAGATCGTTTCTGAATGGTTCATCAAGTTTTAGGATAAAAATAAGCGAACAAAATAAAACAAAAAATTTTTAAATAATTTTTTTTCGTTAAAGAAATTCAGTAAATCTTAAAGTAATGACCTGGATCCGGATCCGGATCCATTTTTTTCCAGTGCGGATCCGCATCAAAATTAAATGGATTCTAAGCACTGCTTTGCTCATACTCCCGTCATTCATTAATTAAATCAATAATTGATTTAATTACGAAGATTTTCGTTGTAGAAGTCGATAAAATTTTATCTTTACAAAAGCATTTGTAAAATTAATAATATTAGTAACCCTTAAATTCTCTATAACAAATAAAAAATTTTATTAAAAAAAGTTTTTAATTTATTTTTGATTTGACAAACCTGGCCAAAGATCCATAATGACTCCAACAAGAAGATGATTCCTCGGAGATTTGAAGAAGAAAAGATCAAAAACAAATCTTTTCATTGTATCAAGATCATCAACATGTCTGCAGGAAAAAAACTTAATTTAAAATTTGAAAAATCAATTATTTTTAAAATTTCTATAAAAAAAATAAAGATAAATGGCGACAATAATTCCAGAATTATCTGGGCAGTGGGTATTACTGTATTACCTAGCGGAGAGAACCAGTAGCCGACCCAAACTAAGAACACTTGACATACTCATACTAAACATCCGGTCTACTCCGAAGAATCCATTATACAACATATCTATCAATCGTTCAATCACACCTTTAAACCTAAATAATACCAGTGTAAGGTTCATCCAAGAACGATTAAACTGGAAATGCAATTAACAGCAGAAACTAGGGACCACGAAGTGATTGAACAGAAACAGAAATGAATTTATTTTTGAGTTCCACGACTCAACCAAAATATTCTTCTAATTCAAATTGTAGAAAGATACAGCCCCAAATTTCTTAATTTCGCAAAAACAAAATAACCCCGGTGTGAGATGAAATAACAAACGCGGTATTACTTTACGCGGGAGGTATGGAACCCGAACCATAGTTGCCAGAGTGGAATATTACGCCTCGGCGTTTTATAATGTCACACTGGAGAAAAAATTAATTCTAAATAATATTTTGCTTACTGAGGTCTCTGATCTAGAACTCTAAGCAGAGTAAAAACTCTCTGCTGGTTTCTGGTTACTGGTGGAGCTTCAGGATTAGAGTCGCTTAGAAGCTTCACACTTTTATGCTCATGCTAGAATAGTAAAGATTAAAATTATGAATTTTGCGAAAAATGTATATTCTTACCATAGTAAAATTGTAAATATAATCGCAGAACATTCTCTGGATTCTCTCTGTAGAATCCCCTTGACAGAGCTCATCACAAATCCTGGTTAGTCCTGCAAGGTTTAACTCATCCTGGAGCAGTTTCAAGTTCTTATCCAGGATGGAGGAGTAGGTCTCATACTGAAATGATTTTCTCTCCTCCTGAATCTTTGTTCTCATGTGTTCCAGAGCTCTGTTCTGGGTTCTGTGCTTGGTGTTGAAGGTGTCCAAGAGTTCATCCAACAGGTTTCTGTACTGAATCTCTCTACGGAGGATAGTTGACGGAGTTGTTAAAGCAGAGAGATCTCTGGAATTATCCATCTGATCTTTCGTATACTCTTCCTCCGTATATTCAGGAACTTCTTTGGAATCAACTTCAGTTTTAACATCTTGCATCTTTATATCACCGGGTTCGACAAGTTTAGATTTTAATAATACACTGGTTTCAATTTTCGCTGAATGCTTGTTGGAGACTTTTTCATCTTTTTCATCTTCGCTGTCTTCCGATAGATTCAAATCATCATCAAGGGAACTACGGGAAGCAGAAATCTGTTTTGACAATAATTCATCTTCACTTTTATCCGTCTCCTCAGATGATGTTTTTGATATAGAGATTAGAGAAACAGGTTCTGGTTGTTTGGATGTAACTGGTTCTGGCGCAGTTACTGGTTCAACTAAATCTGGTGCAGCAGCAGACTCAATCAATTGTTTTGTTACAGATATTCTAGCAGGCATTGTCTTCCTTCGCGCTGGAATTTCATCAACGTTGTCTCCCACCTTCGGTCTGGTTCTAACGGGAGGAACAGGTTTCAACTGGTTAGTCTCTGGTTGTACCTTGTTTCCTGATCTCTCTGATGATCTGAATCCATCTACTGATGGTCTGGTAGCTACTCCTGGTGGGGCTCGGCCTACCATACGGTTTCGAGCCGCTGCAATCTGAGCTTCAGTAAGATTCTTTCCTACAGACGCAGGAGTCTAAAAGCAATTTCAAAATAAGTATTACTCTACTTTTAAAATCAATAATTGCTTAATTAAAACGAATTCAGATCCGCAATATAAGAGAATGAATAAAACCTGATCAAGAACTGATAATTAAAATCATATCGATTCAATTATTCATTTTTGTTTGCTTCTTTATGCTAAAGATATCTACTATCTTGAGGTTATAATTACCTCAATTAATAATCCTGTTTGAAGTATCTTGGAACGAGCAGTTCCAGTACTGGCAGACGTTTCCAGCTTAGTGGCCGGCAGTAACACAGAGCTATTGGAATCTTTAGATTTGGAGATCCTTGTGTTCTTAGATTTTGACGGAATTGCTTGAACCGTCGGAACTACTGGAGCAGATATTCTAGAAGGAGGAACAGGTTGAGGTTTCCTGGTTTCGTGAGCAAGCCTTGATTTGGAAGGATTTGGATTAAAATAGATTTGATTGGATCCATTCTCAACTATGGTCATGGGAGCAGAGGCGTTGAATGCTGATGTAGATCCAATAGGATCAGAAGGCTTAACTAACGACGGTTTCCTACTTGGAGTTGAACAGGAGAGAGGTTCGGGTTCTATTATCTCAGGTGCCTCGTCCGAACTACTCGGCTCCTGAACTATGCACATGAAAGATTCCTCCTGCGATGAATTATATTTGTTTTCTAAACTCATCGGACTGATAATTCGTATTGCTGCACTGTCTCTAGTCTTGGGCGGAGGGTTTGAGGTAACAACAGACAAATTACTCTGAGCAGATCCAGGACCCTTGAGCTTCTTTTTAGGAGAGTAATGGAGAACTTCAGCTTTTCTCTTCATAGGATAATCCCTAGCTGTGCTGCTGTTAAGGATTAACATAATATTCTCCTCCTCCTGGTCGTGATCTACGCTAGGGATGGAGTCAGAAAGAACAGGTTTCTGACCGAGAACACTCGGAACTTCTCCGTAGAGTAAACTACCAAGACGGATAAATTTAGTTTTCTTTACTCCTCCTCTTTGTTTATGTTTACCACTGAAAATAGAAAATCGTCGCCTGGGGGAAAAAGTCGTGTTCGAACTCATTATATTTAGAAAGGAAGCAGAATGACCGGGTTTAATTTCATCGTTCGCTGTGAAGACACTTAAGTCCTGACTGCTTCGCCCTTTACTAAGCTTTAATATTTCAGTGTTAGCCTTTTCTAGTTTCCGAGTCAAGGCAAGAATACGTTTATCCTTCTTGTTGTCATTTATCTCTTTTTTCAGTGTAGCAAGCTCTTTCTTGCATTTCTCTAGTTCTCCGACTTCTACTCTAAATGCAGATGAGATCTCTTCATCTTCTTTTGCTCTTTGCTTGAGAGCTTCATTCTGCTGTTTAAGGCTGGATATTTCTGCAAGATATTTCCATTTCTCTCCCTCATAAATTTCCTTGATTCGTTTCGATTCCCGATCATTCTTAATTTGATCTTCAAGATTAGTCTTTTCCCCCTCCAGGTTCTCAATAGTCCTCTTGAGTTCATTGATCTCCACCTCCTTATTGATCAGATCAATATTCTTTTTTGCAACCGCAGATTCAAGTTGACCCAGTCGACCGGAGTAAGATCTTTTCTCAGTTTCAAAAATACTAATTTTAGAAGTTTTCTCCTCCAAAGAACTCTTCAGCTCACAATTCTCTCTCTGTAAATAATTAACATAAAACAAATCCTGAATTAATTTAACCCAAAATCAAAATCGTTATCTAAATTTGTATATTCTATTACATTTTTACGTTATCAGAGTTCTCTAGGAAATTACCGGGTAACTTCCTAATATACAATTTTCGGACCCCCCTCCCCCCCTCCTATCAATTTTGTACATGGATCTTATATTTAACACATGGATATAATTGGTCATGTGGCCGCAGTGCCCGGCCCCCCTAGCCTGTCCTTACCGAAGTGCTCGGCCCCCTAGGATGTCCTAGCCGCAGCGCTCGCCCCCCCCCGCCTGTCCTAGACGCAGCGCTCGGAACCCAAGCCTGTCCTAGCCGCAGCGCTCGGCCCAGAAATTGTCTTAGTCTAACCTAATCCTAAAATACATAAATACTAATTTAATTGAAAATTGTTAAAAAAGTGGTCATGTACAATATTGATAGGAGGGGGAGGGTGGGCCCGGTGGGGAGGGGTCCAAAAATCGTTCTCTAGGACGGGCCCGGTGGTCCAAAAAGCATTCTCTAAGAAATAACCTTTTAGTTAATTGTAAATGTCTATGATCTTTGTACTTCATTAATTAAGGAAGTAGTAGGAATGTGAACAGTGAGGTTTCAAAATATAAAATAATAAGCCGCTTCATGTTAATATTTCCAAAAGTAGACAGCTTATTATCTTACCTTCAAACTGGAAATCATGTTCTCTTTCAATAAATTCTCCGTCGTCAGCTCGGCGTTTCTTCCCTCAATCTTCTCCTTGTGTTTAAGCAACTTGTCAACTACCTCGATTTTCCGTTTCAAGATCTCCAAGCTCTCTGGGTCTACTTCATCCACCTCCATGTTTATCTATTTCAAAAGAAACCAATAATTTTTAATTTATTTTATTAAAAACGTCAAATTTGTAAATTTAAGCACTCAGAAAACGTTTCAAGTAGATTTTAAGTTCGGCGGTTAACAATGATAAATGCGCATGTTTCTTGTAAATGCCGCGGTGCACTCTTAATTCTCATTTAAAATTACGAACAAAAACATTCCTAAACTCCGCATAAGAGCTTATCCAAAAAAGAAAATTTATTTTTTAACCCAATTTTCTATTCGAAAATAAAATTTAAAAAAAATAAAATTCAGAGTTCAGGAAATCTATTTTAAATTTTAACTTTTCTGGTCGTCTTCCTTAAAATCATATTTAGAGTTGAAATTGACCAAACCAAGTAAAAGTCGGGTTATCTACGCTCGGCGCGGCGTACGCCGAATGGAGAAGTTTTCTGTTGCTTTATTTGTGAAGTTTTTTGAGGTTGTGAATAGGTATAAAGATGATTGATGTTGTAAAGAGAAAATGCTTCTCCGAGTTTAGCTATGAATACCGTAAAATTATGTTATGTAAGTTCATCTCAACGGAGTTAACAAGTTAGTTGACCGAAAAGGAGTTTCATGTTTTATGATTTTCTTTAAATTTAGAAGTCAAATCTTTTATGCAAGTAACTATTTCAACTCTGCTTCTTGTATTAATATTTCATCTCCGCTACTTGTATTGTTTTTATTCATAAAAACTTGAGTTCTATTCTCTATATCTGAACCTAACTTTATTCATATATCAACTCCATTCTTCACATCTCAACCCTGCTTTTTAAATCGCAACCCTTCTCTATACATCACATTCACAACCATGCTCTATACATCGCAACCCTTCTCTATACATCACAACCATGCTCTACAATCCTGCTCTATACTTCTAAGGGGGGGGGTCCAAAAATCGTTCACTAGGACAGACCCCTACCTTGCTCTTTAAAGCTCAAACCTTCTCTTTAATTTTAACTCTACCTTTAAAATTTCAGCCCTACCTTTTAATTCCAACCTTGCCCTTTACATTCAAAGTCGCTGAACCTTGCGTTTGATATCTCAACCCTACTCAACATTTCAATCCTGCTCCTAATACTACAACCTTGCTCTATACATGTTCTAGCCCTGCTCTTAGCGTGCGACCAAAATCTGAACTTTGCTTCTAAGTTTCTAACATCTCAACACTACTCTCTACTCTTTACATTTCAATTCTGCTCTTAAGAATTCAACCAAGATCTATACCTCTCAATTCTGCTCTTAGTCTTACATCTAAGCACTGCTCTTTACATCTCAGTCCCACTTATTACATCTCAACTCTGCTCTTTACAGCTCAGTCCCACTTATTACATCTCAACTCTGCTCTTTACATCTCAGTCCCACTTATTACATCTCAACTGTGCTCTTTACATCTCAGTCCCACATATTACATCTCAACTCTGCTCTTTACATCTCTGTCCCACATATTACATCTCAACTCTGCTCTTTACATCTCAGTCCCACATATTACATCTCAACTCTGCTCTTTACATATCAGTCCCACTTATACATCTCAACTCTGCTCTTTACATCTCAGTCCCACTTATTACATCTCAACTCTGCTCTTTACATCTCAGTCCCACTATATTACATCTCAACTCTGCTCTTTACATATCAGTCCCACTTATACATCTCAACTCTGCTCTTTACATCTCAGTCCCACTTATTACATCTCAACTCTGCTCTTTACATCTCAGTCCCACTCATTGCATCTCAACTCTGCTCTTTACATCTCAGTCCCACTTATTACATCTCAACTCTGCTCTCTTTATCGCAATCGTAAAGCATTGAATTAAGCGTCGTGTCAATTTTGCTCTTAACATCTCTTTCCTCATTTTTAATTCAGCTGCGTTTTACTAAACAAGTAAACGTTATAAATGCTGGACAATCATTTTCTATCATTTAGCTCTTCTTACAGTCCAAGAATTTAAATTTTTTGTAATTATGGTTTGTAAAACACGTTTTCAAATGTTCTAAATGGAGGTAATTTCAGATACAGGAAATATGCAGGTTTTCGGCCTAATCTGACGGAACTGAAGAAAGGTAGGAATGAATTTAACCCAAGGGTTTATATTTTTAAAGGTGTTGGAAATTTCATTATGAGACAGTTTTGAGATGGAGATTTTATATATAGTATAGTTCAAAAATAGGACATTTCATAAATATGTCATTTCATAAATATGTCATTTTATAAATTAGAAGATGTTAAGGTACGACAGTTAATTCAATTTAGGACATTGGGTAGATAGGACATTTCATAGGCATGGTACTTTGTAGACATGTTTTAGATAGAGGACAATCTATCTTTGAAACTTTTTGGCTTACGAAATGTCCTGTCCACGATATGTCACAATTTTGAGTGACCGGATTTTTCACAATTACTTATTCAATATTCATGTTACCCATCTGGAAGTTTTTTTTTTAAGTAGCATAATATGTCAAATATTATTAATTCTTAATATATTATTAATGTCTCCATGCAGTAGCTAGATATTTGTTAAATAAATATTTTTCCTTGAGCTTTGGAGAAAAAAAAATTGAGATAACATTTCCCATCCTTGTCCAAATAATGTCAAACTTATCTATCAAGACATAACGTGAACATCAACACCCCCCCCCCCCTTCCTAACTAATGAAGAATGATTAAATCTTAACTTATATATTTTGAACTTTTTTTAAAACGGGTTACACCTCATTGAATTGCACAACTTTCTTCTTTCTTCTCAAATTTTTGCTTTTTTATTTGTGTGAATTTCGCTTAAAAGAAAAATGTTGTCTTCTTCAAAATATCAAAATATCATTAAAAATTCATTGATTTCATAGAATTCTTAATCCCTTAGAAAACCCTACTACCATATCTATCTGGTGAAACTAATGAGTCAACACTTGCTGTGAGTTGTTTCATTTGTTTTATGTTCATTTCAAGAGCTTTTAAAGGGATGTAGCGCAATTAAAAAACATATATTAATTATTCTACATGTTTTTGAAACACTGACCGGATTTCTGACCTACCCTATGCAATAAAAATTGCGTGTTTAGCTGAACTATCGAACGAAAGAAAAGCAATTAAACTACCCACCGAGATAAACCTAAACTAGGGGGCTCAATTTGATCTTGGCGGCTATAGAGAAGTAGTTCAGCTGGCCGTAGTTGGTTAAACTACAACATTCACTTTTCCTGTGAGCCGTTTCAAGTTAAATAGAAGAGGTTCAACGTTGTCTACGTAGTTTAACTACTTCTTGCTGTTTATTAAATTTGGTCTCAAGACTAATTGAATTCCCAAGTTTACGTTTAACATTTACAATATGAGTAATTAACCTTTCTGTTGAAGAACCTTACAAAACTCTCTTCCTCTTTTATCCATCCGGTAGAATTGATAGAAAGGTTGAATACATCAACATCTATATTTATATCTGAATGGATTGTTTATCATATCTTCCATCCCAATATCCACAAGTGCTTAGAACCCAATTCATTTTGATGCGGATCCAGATCCTGGTCATGAAAAGAAATTGAGTCTCTGCCACAAAGTCTGATTTTTTAATCCCAATATCTCTGCAACCCGTTGTAGTACAACTTAGATATTTAAAACGTAAAATATTTGATCCAACAAGTTTCATAGTTTGAAATATCTATGGTCTACGATATTGGGTTGGAAAGATATAAGGATTAGAAAATCAGATGTGTGGCAAAGACTCAATTCCTTTCTAAAGATTTACAGATTTTTAAATCAAAGGAAGAAATTTCAAACAATTTTTCTCTTATTTTTTTTTGCTTATTTTGAATAACCATTCAGAACTAAGGAAATTTTTAAAAATCTCTATTTTGAGCGTAAACATTTTTATTTTGGTTTTTGGTTGATATTTTGATCCTTGGATCCTGATCCAGGAAGACATAATGGTGCGGATATGTGCAGTCAAATCTGCATAGGAGCAAGATCCGCAATATTTTTAGCTCTTTGAATTAAGATAAAAGATATTTCCAGTTAAAAGTAAAATCAGATCTACGAACCATTTTAAGAGATTCTATCCAGGATTTAAAATTTAAAAGAAGTTTTCCTTTCTTATTCAGTGTATTGTAGAAATCTGTTTGACCATAGCGCTATAGAAATCCCAACTTTAAACTGGTGTTCATAAGAAATCTGCAATCTTATCTAGTTTAGATTTGAAATTGAATCTCTATTTTTTTCAGTACTAAAAAAAATTAATATTTCTTTTTCAGTGTATATTAAAAATCTTCATTTTTGTTTGGTACTTTTAATTTAAATAAGTATTTTGTTCTTATCTATGGGTTAATGCAGATCTTACAAAGAACCAGCAAAAATTTGCAAATTTTATTTTTTGCAAACCCAGAGCACGCTGTAGGAATCTTATATATCAAAGTGTTATGGCACTGCATTGATGTTTTAGTTATATTTGTATAAAGCTTCACCCTGTTATGCATCTTTATGAATGTAAACTGTACGGGCCCGGGGTAAAAGACAAATTTCGCATGCTAATGCACCTTTCTCGCGCTGCGCCCCAAAACTGACCAGGTCAGGTTGGTTTCTCCGTCTCTCCAGGTTTCTCTGCATCTCAGTTCCTGTAACTCCTTGTCTCAGTAACCATTGTGCTGCTTCTATTCTATCCCTGAGATTTCTTCTCCAAACCCCGAGCTAATTTATCAGGTTCATGCATTGGAACCAGAGCACGGACTTGTGTCGAACCTTTGACAGACAATTCCTGCTCCCGGCTCACAAATCCTTTGAAGGACAGATCAGATTAGTTTCAACTCCGCAGTTTGCATTGTGCAGTTGCTGTGTGATAAAGTTTAATTCCTGCATAGATGCAGTCCAGTTATACATAAAGGAATGAGAACTGATTGTCTAGATAAGATACTGATTAAAAGGGAAACCTGTTGCTGCACCAGGGGCAGTTTACAAGGGTACATGGAGTAAATATTCTCCAGAAACTAGTATGATTTGTCCCAGCTGCAAAAGAATTAACACTGATGCACTGATAATCAGGGGTTTCGACCAGATCAGGTTTAGAACAAGAGATCATCTCTCAGTCTCTAGTTGTTGCCAGAGAAGGGTTCATCAACATGTCTGTGAATATACACAGTGATACAATTATTACGTGATATTGTGTACTGTACACAGTACGGTATAAGGTGTAGGGCAGTTAATTACAAAGGAGGAAAATGAGTTGTATGTACATGGTAAGAATATATGGCCTACTAATATTTATAGTTTTACATATGAATACAAGTTTTTTTAATCTGAATAACAAAAAGGTGAAATAAGTTATTTGGTGGAGCTAAAAAGGGGGGCTTAGATTAAGTCACTGGATTGAATTTAGGGTATGAGTTAAATTTAGTTACTTGGTTGGGCGAATTGAAATGGGTGGGAGGGGGGGGGGGTACTTTGAGTAAAATCGAGTCACTGGATTGAGCCAGGGCCGGACCGGGGGGGGGGGGTCTTTATGGAGTTGAATTGAGTCACTGGATTAAGGGAAGAGTTGAATTTAGTCATTGAAGCAAGAATGGGTTGAAAGAAAATTGGTTAGGAATTCAGGACGAAAGGTAAATAGGAAATGAAATCCTTCCTCACTATTATAATTTATTACCTAACTACACCTCTTTCTTATCTGTACTCACTATAATATATCAGGGTTTAACCAGCTTAGTTACTAGGTTTTATTGTTTTTTTTTTTGTATTGAGTGGGGGTTTAATTTGAAAGTAGTTAAAACCTACTAAAATTCATGCTAATTCATAATAAGAGACTATTTAAGCAATAGGTGCACTTTATAGTGATGAAAAATAATAATATTGTTGTGATAATAAGCTATAATCATATATAAGGAATCATAAATACTCAAATACAATAATATCACCTCCCTTCTTCAAAGGGGCCTTTATAGGGGAATACTGCAATTTTTTTTTTTGGCATTTAATTATTTATATTTAGTCGATAAAAGTTGAAAGATAAGCAATAGTTTATGTAAACTTAAATTATTAACGGATTTAAATTTGAAATTTAGCTAAAGCAAAATTAAATACCTGTGTTGAACGTGACCACCCTCTATTGTCGTATTTTTTCAGCTCTATTTACATTTTTAATACAAGCTTACAACATAATAGGAGAGAATGTGGGTGTGAGGTCCAGCTTTAAACTAGTATTCTACAGATTCCCACAATTTATGTATATTTTATTCTCCCTGCCTCTTGGATAAACGAATAAAGTAAATTGAATCCCAGAATAAATGTTCTTGTTGCTGTAACTCCAGCTCCGACCCACCACAGATATGAATAAAAAAGGTGTAAACCTATTCAAGCTAAGTAACATATATTACAAAATCTTTCATAGAAAATATTTTATCTTTTACACTTGACGTCACATTGATAGAAAATATAAAGGAGGATGTATGTGTTTAAAGGTAGATGGGGGGAGTGGGTTAGAATGTGGGTGAGGTAGNTTTATTTGTTTTCGATAAAAAAATGTCGAAATATTAGTTTTTATAGTTTATTAAATTCACTTTTTTCATTATTCGTATTAATGCAAAGTTGCACAAACATATTTTTATTATTTATTTATTATTTTATTTTATTATATATTATATTATTCAAGTTTAAAAAATGAATCATTATATAACATGTATTGTATCAAGATGACGTTTTTAATTTATTTTATTTAAGGTTTTCTCGGGGGGAGTGCGTCGGGAGCCGAACAATTTGTACAGATCTGGGTCTCTTAGTTTCTTCCCTTACTTAGACATGGCAGACCTAGGCAGTGCTGGACCCTTCATTGTAAGTAAACATATCATTTTAATGTAAATAATAATAATATAAACAATATATATTTTCTTTTTGAATTAATCTGTGTACGTCTGTCTGTTCGTCTGGATGTTCGATTATAACGCATAAACTCCTTGACCGATCTGCCTCTTTAGGAAAGAGATATCTCTTTTATCACATTTTAAAGAAAATTTAATTTTTTTATTTTTTATACCTTGTTAGGACTCAACAGTTTATGCTGAACCTGAGTCAGTTTTATTTATTCATCATTCATTGATTAATATAATCAATTAAACCTGATAACAATAGTTGTTTCTGAATTTTGATCATTCTCTGCTCAATTTAAACTTTTGTAAAAACTAATTCATTATACTTTGTCACTTAGAGTTTACATTTTAACTACATTTCCTTATACTCCCTTGCAACACAGCAACACTACTATAAAGTTTGTATTTCCTTTTTTGGATTTGTTGATCTTGATTAATGGATTTACTATGCCCCAGAGTTTGTATCAATTAAATGCTACAATTCTGTTATTTGGTTCGAACTAAGCACCCCCCCCCTTCTGCACACATGCAACATAAAGTTGCTATAAATGAGATTTAAGCTTTCAAATTTTATATATTTATATGTCAGTATCTTGGAAACCCAGCTTTGTATAGAGTTTTCCCTTTAAAAAAAGCAAGAACGTTCTTTGTATCCTGTATCTTCACTTGTTTGTCCGATATCTTTTACCTGTGTATCTTGTATCGTTAACCTATATCCTTAGTAATCCCCCTGTCTATCCTGTCTTTCAACTGTATCCTGAATCAGAAACAGTTTGCATTAAAAGTCTTTTATTATCGATATAACAGTTCTGTATCAGATACAGACTTTACAAATCATATCACAGATCTGTATCTCAAAGTAAATACAAACCATCTCTTATGATCCATAGAACAGCTCTGCACCAGATACAGACTATATAAACCATCTGTTACTATCCATAAAATAATCCTCTACCAGATACAGTTCATATAAACCATATGTTAATATCCATATAACAATCCTCTACCAGATACAGTTCATATAAACCATCTGTTAATATCCATATAACAATCCTCTACCAGATACAGTTCATATAAACCATCTGTTAATATCCATATAACAATCCTCTACCAGATACAGTTCATATAAACCATCTGTTAATATCCATATAAAAATCCTCTGCCAGATACAGCTCATATAAACCATCTGTTAATATCCATAAATAATCCTCTACCAGATACAGTTCATATAAACCATCTGTTAATATCCACATAACAGTTCTGTATCAGATACAGTTCATATAAACCATCTGTTAATATCCATATAACAATCCTCTACCAGATACAGTTCATATAAACCATCTGTTAATATCCATATAGCAGTTCTGTATCAGATACAGTTCATATAAACCATTTGTTAATATCCATGTAACAGTCCTGTATTAGATACAGTTGATATAAACCATCTGTTTATATCCATATATTACAGTCCTGTATCAGATACAGTGTATATAAACCTTCTGTTAATATCCATATATTAGTTCTGTATTAGATACAGTTCATATAAACCATCTGTTAATATCCATATAACAGTTCTGTATCAGATACAGTTCATTTGGAACTATACTTTTCATTTTTCCAGTCCCCATATTTTCCCCTGTCAATCCACCTAAAGTAGGTGTATCTACATTGTACAAAATATATACACTGTACACTTGACATCAATGTTCTATCAGTAATCCGTGCTAAATTACAGTCAAGACTATTTCAATTCCCGTTGGAAAAGTTCTGATGTACATTTGTTAGCAATCCTTTTGAATCTTTAGCACTGAACGTTTACCGTACACTGTACATTTACTGTGCACTACCTTTACCTTAAACTGTACCTTAACTGTACAGATTACACAACTGGAAATTTAATACACAAAAATCAATTTTAAAAAATGTTGTTAAATTTTTTATATTTACACACAAACATTGTGTTGTTAAGATTGTCATATTTAGCACAAAAAATCTTTTCTCAAGAAAATCAAATAATACAAAGAACAAAATTTAGGAAATATGATCTTTCCTGAAAATTAGTTTTTTTGGCAACATAAACCGGTTAAAATTTGTTTTTTTTTCATGATGAGTTTAGAAATTATGATTAATATCAAATGAAAAGAAATCAAAACACTGCTCAAATATGACCAAAATACCAAACTAAACCTTACATAAATCTAAACTAGATTTTAAAAAGTATTTTTTACTAGAAAATATTGCTGCCGCCCTATTGTTTAATACTTAAATAATCTGACATAAGATTTATGCGTTAATGAATCATGCGTGGAGGGGGAAGGGGGAGGTTGAAGATAGATAGATAGAGAAGAGGGGGAAATGAATCCCACCCTTCCAATCCTAACTGTTCTCTTGCATATTTGAAACAGTTGTTGTTAGCAGACTCCTGGTTCACCTGGAGAAACCATATCAGTCAGAACTCAGTGTCCAAGTTGTAATATCCTGGTGGATAAACTTTCTCGTCCTATTCCTGGTAGTGAGTAGGAAACTATTTCAACTCTGCTCGAGTTCTTTGCATCTCATTCATCCTAGCGGATAGTGGAGTCTCCCCCCCCTCCTCCTCCTCTATGGTTGCAGGAATTCTGATTAGATGGACCGATTTATACAATAAATAGGATCCTAAGTGCTTCTCAGATCAATTCGTGATTCCAGTATTATTCGCGGTTCTTTCTTTCCCTTGGATTAGATGCATAAACTGTGTGTGGTGTTCATCTCAAATCCTAGAGTTCTTCTGCACAATCACTTAGCATGATTGGGTATAGAGATCCAGAGGTAGGATTAATCTTGACTCCAGGAACATGATTGGGTATAGAGATCCAGAGGTAGGATTAATCTTGACTCCAGGAGCATGATTGGGTATAGAGATCCAGAGGTAGGATTAATCCTCATTCCAGGTTTTCTTCTGGATACTGTTATGAGTATTTTAAATGATGGAAATCCTAATTTAAGATTTTTTTTATTTTTACATATAGTTTTATAGTCTGGATCTAGATAAGTGTGTTGTTGAAATTTTGATCTACTGCACTAAAGGTTATCTTGACTGGATCATCTTTCAAGATGACATTACCCCATGAAAAACCCAAATTAGAAGCTGGGGTAATAAATACGTATCTAAAGCTAGTCCCAAGTGACGCTGACAACTAAAGTCATTTTAATGCCATAATTTTTCCCTTTGCGTGCAAAATCACAAGTGGAAAGGAACTGGGTTCTTGCTTATTTGCTAATCTTTGCAACCTGACGGTGTTAATCTTTAAAATTTTAAACTTTTAATATTAGATCTGACAGAAGTTATAATTTGTAATATCAAACAGATACAGCATCGAGTTACAGAGATATATGGATTAAAAAGTCAGCGTTTGTGACAAAAACTCGGATTCTATTTCAAATTTTTATCTGATAAATATTAAAATATTAGCTTAGGTGCTTTTTCCTGCTTGATGAAATCTGAACCAATGAAAACCTTGGTCTCTGTTTTTCCAGCAAGATTTTTATTAAATCAGCTTTTTAAAAAAACATAAATGAAATTAAACCGGGTAATAAAAAAATCACTGATTCTAGTCTCTAAAGACAATGACACTAACCGCCGGACTGTTTTGGGCAAATTTTAAAACCAAAACCAAAGCAAATTTTTAATAGTTTGTATTACTTAAAAATAAAAATTACTAGAGGTGTTGTTAGAGGGAAGGGGGGAGGGGGGAGGATGAAAAAAAGTAATTTTAAATAAATTCAATTAAGTGTTGATAGTATTAAATCCTGGATTAGTTTGTTACAATTATTCACTGCGTTCATATTAAGCCATAGTTTAAAGTTTTCCTAAATCTGTAAAATTTAATTATATATTCAGTAGATAGAACACGCCTTGTTCAAACTGTATCTAATTTGTACAAACTTAACTTATGGCTTGATTGAATGACAGTTCTAAAAGACAGATTGGTTTCCAGAGGGGTAGGGGATCGAGGGGGGGGGGCGGTTCCTGTAAACCTAAACCATCCTTGTTTACTATTTTTAGTTATTTGTAGAAAACTTAAAGAATGTTCGGTAGCTAAGAGTATTGATTTCATTTATTTTTGAACCTTGATATGCATTCGCGGCATTGAAACTTTTTTGAGCATAGCTATGAAAAATCACCTTCCAGATGTAAACATAAAAGTTCATCATATTTTTTTCTGTAATCATTCCCCCTTTTGAGTTCACCCTGATTTTATTCTTTAATTTGTTTATTTGGATAAAGCATTTTTGGTCAGTGTTTTCTCTATTTTCAATGCAAGGAACGGATTATTTCTCTTACCAATCCGGATCCGGTTCTGTATGTGCACTGTCCGGGTGTACAGTGTAAAACCTTTAAAATTAAACTGTCCAAAAACCGTCCCTTGACATGGTTCATAGTTTAGCCGACGAACCATACAAACTCGTTATCATGCTTATCATTCATTTTCTATCCTTTTATATATATTGTTGAACAAGGATTATAACTTGAAAGAAAAACTGGTTTAAATTTTGCCAACAGCCTTGCTTCCATTTATCTTCTATTCTATTGATAAAGGATGGTTACAAACAGATATTTCTGTATTTAATCTCCAACAGTCTCATTTAAGAGATTGTTTTCATAAATATGAAAGATGTTTAGGTAACAATTTATAAAACGAGGAATGCAATTTTAACTCAATTTACATCAACCTGACAAAGACCAAAGATAAAAGTTTGGATAAAGAACATTTTTAAATATATTTTCAAAAACTCGGGATAAGGACGACGAAAACAGAAGTCTTGATTTCGACGATAAAAAATGCATTTATTTGTTTTCGATAAAAAAATGTCGAAATATTAGTTTTTATAGTTTATTAAATTCACTTTTTTCATTATTCGTATTAATGCAAAGTTGCACAAACATATTTTTATTATTTATTTATTATTTTATTTTATTATATATTAT